TACTTCGAGCTAATCCATATGTATGTCGAGATGTATATGTAAATTGAATCTATTATGATTTAGAAAATATAGAATTTATAATTTTTTTTTTTGATTTACCAATCGTGAAACTATTCGTACTGTACATAATATAGCCTGGCAAAGATGATAATAACCATCAAGAAGTATAACCACTAGTAAAATTTGTACAAATATTTTAGTTCTTTATGAATAATAAGATAAACTTACCACTATGACAAGTATGATAACCAATAGTTTCAAGAACGAATAAAATAAGATTATTTATTAATAAAGCAATAGATAGAATCATGATGAGTTTATTCACATTTAATTTCCAAAATTTTTGATTGTCTTTTACTTTTTGTTTAGATAACTAGCAATAGAATACCTTGTTTCATCGGGTACGTTTATAAATCATATTTTTCTTTTCGTTTTCTTTTGTACAGTAGAAAGTCGTTCTTTTTCATTCTGTACCAATAAACAATCTCTTATTACTTTTTCTTTCGTTCACCTACTTATCATAGGTTATATAAAAAAAAAAGATAATATGCAAATATACTTGTTCAGTTAACCACTCAAGCGTTATCTCATTTTCTTTTGAAACAAACGAGTGAATGACATGTATTGAATGAATCTGTAAATTATTATTACCAAAAGAAAATGTCTATTCATTTTAATCATGATTTTGTTTGATTCGTACATACACATTTATATATATTCTTATCAATGATCTTGTTTTTCTTCCTGACAATTCTTGAATTTTGTACTCATCAATGATGGGTTCTTATATAGAAACAACATCAGCTTATCTATAGCCACTCATTCTTTTATCATTTATCACTTTCGAAATACAATTATCTTTTTTTCCTTCTCGTTCTTTCTTACTGATTTATTGCATGACAGACATGTCTAAATCTGATTTATTATTAAAACAAATCTACCATGATAATAAACTATTGAATCATGTATACACTCGAATTTTGATATAATTACAATAAAAAGGAAAATATGATGATCTTTTAATAAGAAAAATATTCTTTATTGATATGTATTCTCCAATAAGAAATAAAAATTATTATATTTTGTTTATAAATTATAAACTTTTCTTTTTATGAGATTGAGTGTGTTCAAGAGAGTAACCATTCTTCCTTTTTATCTTCCATTTACTACTCTATTTCATCATTACAATTTGAGAATCTCTAGTGTCTCTACATGACAATTAATGGATGTTTTTTATATTATTTTTAGCATTGTTGAACTCTTTAAAAACATGTCATGATTACTATATTTTTAGACAGTTAATGATAAGAATTGATATATATTTTTATAACATCATTTGACATGAACTTGATTATAAGAGAAAAAATATCGTTCAACCAATAAAAAAACGATAATAATTAATATCATATTCGAACTATTTTATGAATACAAATCAATATTTGACATAAATTATAAAATATAATTTTTATATTTACACTATAAAATATCAAATCAAAATTTAATGAATAGTCGCTACATGCAATGTAAACTACATGTTGATTCTATCTCCAATCATCGTTGTTGTTGTTCTGTCTTTAGTCGTCGTCGCATGATTGACATTCATAAGATCTAAATAAACATATCGATTCAATAAGAAAAACGCAACAATGGTTCTTGTTGAAGACGTCTCATCAAATTCGGATTCATCACCAACACCAAATAGAAGTAATGAAGCATCATCATCATCTCCTCCACCACCACGTCCATCAACAGCAGTCCCACGTTCACTCATTAGCATGTTACTTGAACGTAAAGTCGATGCTGTCCTATTATTATCACGTTTAGCAACAATATTTTTCACAATAATGTATATCGTACCATTTTTTCATTCTGAACCAAATGTTTATTATACAAAAGCATTATTAGCATCAATTGTAACATCAGGTTTACGTCTTCGTCAACGTATACCAAGTTTCCAATTATCACGTGAATTTTTATTTTTCCTACTTCGTGAAGATAGTGCACATTATTTAATGTATTCATTCTTATTTTTAAGTGGTATACCAATGACAATTGTTCTTATACCATTAGCAACATACGCTGTTTTACATTCATCTTCTTTTTTATCACAAATTCTAACAAATTTTCCAGCAATACAATTATTATGTACTCGTGTTACAGATAATCAAATTAATTTACTTCGATTTATTGCCTTAAATGAAATAATACTTATGCCAGTATTAATTTTATCGATATTTGTTGCACGTTCCAATTTTCTATTAATTTTTATGTACTATCGATTTCTTACATTACGTTATGCATCACATAGAAATCCATATACACGTACATTATTTTATGAACTTCGTCAAACTGTTGAAAATTTGTGTAATAAACCAGCATGTCCACCATTGATTCAAAGAATTTGTTTTAGTGCAATTACTTTTATCAATCGATTAGCTCCAGCAACTGCTTAAATAAATAATCAAAACAAAAAAAAACTTATTCAGAATCTTTACAGGGATTTTTTTATATGAATCTTCTTAATTAGATTGTTATTTGTGTTGTTCTACATCTATTTTTTATGTTGTTCGTGTTTGAAACAAAAACTTCAAAGTTAAGTTCTTCATTTGTTATTTCATTATTTTAGAAAATGTAATTGCCATGGTTGCTTCTTGTTATCATTGAATGGCCGCTCGTGTTCGAGCGTCTTTTACAGATGATGACTCGATAAGCGACCACTTAACTCTTGAAATGGTTCGCATTAATGCACCACAAACAACAACACCAACATCAGTAAATACTACTATTAATAATGATCCCGATGAACAAGCAACATTGAATGGTTCTGTTGGAACAACAGGAGGTAGTACTCCAGCTACAAATGATTTTCATCCAACAAATAATCCTAGTATAATGGAAGGAGTTAATCGAGAATATGAAATACCCAATTTATTTACTTATAAAAAAGTAATTTTAAAACATAAATACAAAAACTATTATAAATATATATATATATATATATATGTACTTATTCATAGATTGAATCATTAGTTGAACGAATGCAAGATGAAAATACTGGTTTACCAATAAAATCCGTCAAAAGTTTTATGTCAAAAATTCCCAGTGTTTTAACCGGTGGAGATTTAATACAATGGGTTTTGAAAACACTTGATGTTGAGGATACAGGTATAGTCTAACTTATTAATTTGAAATATATATAATATCAAATATTTATTTAGCTGAAGCTGTACATCTAGCTAATCTTATGTCATCACATGGCTATGTAAGATTATCTTTCTAACTAAGTAATAATGATAATAAATACTTATTTTTCTTATATTTAGATATTACCCATTGAAGATCATGTATTAACCGTAAAAAATGATGGAACTTTTTATCGATTTCAAGTATTAATATTTTTATAATTTTATCTATGATTATTTTCTTTTTCTGCAGACACCTTATTTTTGGCCATCAAGTCATGGTGAAGCCGATAATATTGATTATGGTAAAATTCATACAATAGACAGATTTTTTTTTGATTAAATAAATTTCAATTTTATATATAGCTGTGTATTTATGTAAACGAACGATGCAAAATAAAACTCGATTAGAACTAGCTGATTACGAAGCTGAAAATTTAGCTAGACTTCAAAAACTATTTGCACGAAAATGGGAATTTATCTACATGCAAGCTGAAGCACAAATAAAGTACGATTATTTTTGAAAAATCAATTTTTTTTCTATTTTATTTATTTATTAGAGTCGATAAAAAACGAGATAAATTCGAACGAAATGTTCTCGATTCACAAGAACGTGCTTTTTGGGATGTACATCGACCAGCACCCGGTTGTATCAATACAACTGATCAAGATATTAAAAAATTAATGCGAAGAAAAATATCTACTATAACTCCACGTTTATTAATTGATGCTTATCGAAAAGCAACAACAGTAACAACAGTAAATCCTGCTCCAGCATCAGCTCTTGCATTTGCTGCTAATCGAAATTTAATTACAATGACTGTTGGTTTATTAACAACAGGACCATCAGCAGCAAACACACCAACAACAACAAATTCGAATACACCAAGTAGTCCGCCACAAATACGAGCATCAATCTTACGTGAATGTGATGAAAATTTATTAACTGAACAATTATTACAAGAAATTGAATTTCTTAAACATCGAATTGATAGACGATGTATAAAAACATCTAAAGTTTGCGAAAGTTTTGTTTCTTATTTCGAACAATATGCTGAATTTGATCCATTTATTACATTATGTGAACCATCAAATCCATGTATGAATATTTCTAATTATTACGAGTCATTTACATAATATATATATATATTTTCCGAGATGATTGTAAAATTTATTCTGATAAATATTTGTATGGAAATAGTGACTTATAGATCGAAATCGATGAACACAAATTGAGAGTATAGACAAAAATAACTTCCGGATAATAAAATTATCGTTATGAATGTCAACAGAATGCATTAGATAGGCGTAGTTTAGATTCTACATGAAGATCTGTGATGTAGAATTTCGAGGTTTTAATAGAAACTTGCAGTATGAGGGGTTTCAATTTCCGATAACAACTTTATATCATTTCCTTTAAACAATTGTTAAGTTAGATGACAATAGATAATCAAATAAACAATAGATGCATTCTTCGTACATAAATGGATATACACTGATTGAATTCTTACAAGAAAATAAGATTCGTTATATTTATACTAATGTCAAATGAACTTCTCGTTTAATTAATTCATGTTTTATAATCATTATTTATAAAACATCGTAATAGCTGACTAAGTTGAAGGTTTTTTTAATGAGAACAACTCATTATTTTTTCTATACTCTTAATCTATGTTGAACAGGCATTATTTTTTAGAACAATTAGGATTGTATTATTATGTTTATTTCTAGGGATAACTGATTCAACTGATCTATGGGAATTAGAAAAAGCTAGTAATCCAAAAGATATATCATCACGACGTGTTAAACGTTGGGGTTTTTCAATACATGAATTACTTAAAGATCCAATTGGTCGTGATTATTTTTGGAAATTTCTTGATAAAGAATATTCAAGTGAAAATCTACGTTTCTATGAAGCATGTATACAATTACGTTTTCACACTCCACAAAAAGATGTGCTTAATCGAGTTAAAGAAATTTATAATGAGTTTCTTTCACCAGGTAACACAAAAGAATAAAATTTGTCATATTAACTTATTTTTTGACTCTATTAGGTGCTTATTATTCAATAAATATTGATCAACGTGTCATGAATTTAACAAAACATAATATGGCTCATCTTCCTAATAGATATACATTTGACGAAGCTCAGGTTTGATCTTTAATTTACATTAATAAAATATTATTTTTTGTTTCTCATTAGGATCACATCTTTAATTTAATGAATCGTGATACATATGCTCGATTCTTACGTTCCGAAGCATATAAAGAATTATTACTAGGTGGAAAAAAGAAAGTAAGTAATGTGTTTAATAATAAACATATTTAGAAAATACGTCAAACTTTTCTTTTTGGTCAAACATATGTAAATATACATATAATATACAAGATTATATACTGGCAATAAAAATCAATGTAATACTGATGATAATTGTTTTTCTTTCTTTCTTTTTTTCAATGTATGCAACTGCTGTGGGGTTTTTGACTGATTTTCTTTTTCTTTTGTTTTGTTTGTTGTTATTATTATTTTGATTTTAGCTATCCAAAAAATACTGATGTAGACTATCGAGCGAATGCACTTGTAATAAAGCATATATATATATTTATACATATATATTTAATCTATCATTTTACTCTCTGCCTGTTTCATCTTAATCTTTCCCTTTTGCACATAAACACATTAGGACAATTATTTACTCATTAAGAAAAGACACTGATAGATAGATACTAGTTGTTGTTTGATACCTCAAAACCTTCATTTATTACATACACATAAATACACATATATACATATATATATATTATATCTACTCTCTATTTTTATGCTTCGGTTGGATTGAAAAATGCTTGTACTCATTTTATACAGCTATCACAGCGGATGTCTTTTTTTGTCCTGTTGTCTGCTTTATTCAATTATTTTATTTATTCCATTTAAGCATATTTTTTTATACTATATTTTATTCTTTCTTATTTATATACAGTAATTTTTAATTAATTTTGTTTTTGTCTTTTTTTTCCGTCTAGCTTGGACTTAAATCAGGACGACTTTCAATTGTTATACGAAATCCAACAGAAAGCTTTTCAATTAGTGGTAGTACTTTACTCACCGGTGGTACTAATGACAAGCATTTATTAGGAACTGGTCTTCGTTAATACAAAATTTATCATATCTGGTCTTCTTCTTTATCTTTTTTTATACTCATTTTATTTCTAGTCAAAAATTCGAACAGTCATTGCTTCTTTTTTTTTTCTTTCTTTTGTCTTATATTTACATGTGTGTATGTGTGTTGGTGTGCATAATTTGCTCTTACTGCATATCTTGTACCTGTGTATTTTCATTAGTTGATTGTCATTCTTTTTAGTTATTCATTTATTATAACTATTGATAAATATATACATATATATATATATATACTTGCTTAGCGATACGCAAGATAGATTAACTAACTGTTGTTTAATTTCATACACTCCATGGGAATATATACAAAAAAATTTTATTTCACAATATATTAATACAAAAATAATTGATTAACTACTAGTACAGATTTCCCAACAGCACGTAGCTCGTGCCAACACTTTAATGTGAATAAACAAACAAACACAGGAGGGTTCATTTAACAAATATTTTCTTTCTCAATTATTTCATACATTCTTCTTTGATATAATGTTAATCATCAGAAATATACGAAACTTGTTCGATTTTTGAACTGATACGTAAAAATAAATAATATAATTTCATTGCTAACACTATCTAAAAAAAACCTTTACTCCAAATGGAAAAAAAATTTTCTATTAAGATGTATAATTACTTGTCACTTCAATTCATAATTGCTCTCTGCTCAATGTTTTGATTGTATTCGATATGGCACACGTCATTGTTTTTCTTAACAATTAACACCTATATTCAAAACATAACATCATATCAACAAATAAGCTTTCTTTCTTTCTTAATATACATATGGATCAAAGATTGATATATTGAACTTCATTAATAATGCTGAGAAATTTTCGAAAAGAAAAATATCTTCTTCTCTTCTTCTCTTCTTGTAAATATTGAATATTTTATCTGTCACCATTTAACAGATAATTGTCAATGTTTACTTGATAAGAAAGTTAACTTTCCCTTCATCAATTAGTATTCATATATACAATCCCAGCATTGTGTTCTTCTCTATATAAATAGCTACTCTATTTAATTTCATAACATCATTAAAATGATAAATATTGATAAATCATCATTACTACTTCCAACTATTGATATGTTTCAATCTTATATTCCTCTAACATCTACACCAAAACGTTCAACTAAATCTTCGTATTCTCAACCATTATCATCAACATTATCAACATCACATAGTTCTTCCAAGCAAATGGATTTATCAATTTCAGCAATTACTTTAATTAAAAAATCATTAGTGCCTTGTAAAAAACGTCGTCATTCATATTTTCGACGACGACAAACTCATATCCATTCATCGACAATTAATAAACGTATTGAACTCAAACATTTATTATATTCAACACGAGCAATGAAATATCAAAATGATGATAAACAACATCATTATACAAAAAATGAATTGAAAATTTATATTGTATAAAACTATTTATTTTATTATTAATACCGTTATTTTCGAATAAAATTTTTTTTTGTATAAAAAACCTCTGAATATATGATAATGAAATTATTTCGAGAGAGAGTAATTAGTTTTGTAATATTAGACAAATATCTTCATATATGAAAGCTAACAAGATAATTCACGAGGGATATTATTTTTTAAAGATGTCTATTGAGAATTGATAATTACTATGAATTATTAACTACTTTCATTCATGTTACAATCAACTCTGTAACCTTACTGAATTTCGCATTACATACAATAAAATTTTCTGATTGCCTTTCCATTGGACTTTCGAAAGTACGCACATTAAAAAAAATGAAAATAAAAGCCTTTTACTTATACTTAATGTGCCATAAAACGTCTCAGTTACCTATCACAAATGGCGGATGATATTCTATTAATTTCATCTAAGCGTTTAGTTTATCTTTTAGTAACCTATATCATATTATTGTTTTGATGAAAATAATTTGATTTGACTCATATTGAAAATTGTGTAAGGTAGATATATTAAAGGTCGACGAAAAGCAATCGCTCTATTCATTTTTTTGTTTGATACTAAGATAATAATACAATGGCAATAATCAGTCGATTTTCAACTTTAACTACTTTATGTTTATTGATTTTAATTATTCAAACCAATGCTGGTAAAGCTACTGAAAAATGTAAATATATGATTTTTTTCTATATTGAATTCTAAGATAATAAATTTGATGTTTATAGTCTTTATGGATAAAATGTGCGGTCAAGATCATTTAGTTCTTGATGGAGATAAAAGACCGGGCATTTCATTTCAATTAACAAACAGTAATAAATATAAATCTAACACAAATTGTACGGTGAAATTTCGAACTGCTCAACCAAGTCAACGAATAGTTATTACAGTAGAAAAAATGGATATTGCTGATTGTCCAAGTGATACATTACTTATCTATGATGGTACAACAGTACTTAATAAAAATGCAAATCAACAATGTGGTTCACCTGCATTCTTTACATTCACAGTATGTTTTTTTATTCGAATTTCAATTTAAGTTAGACTTTAATCTATTTTAGAGCTCAACAACACAAGTATCAATAACATTTCAAAGTAATTCAGCTGTAGAATCAAGTGGATTTCAAATGGCAATTGCACTTCATTTTCCTAGTATGTTCTAACTGATATATGTATAAAAGATCAATTGAATGAATTTCTTAATTTAGCGGTTCCTGCATGTCCTCAAAATCTTGGTTTTTATCAATGTAAAAATCGAAATTGTATTTCGAAACAATTGAAATGTGATGGACGGAATCATTGTGGTGATAGTACAGATGAAAATGAATGCAGTTTAATTTCTCATTAATAACAATTTTTATTTTTAACATCATTTTTTGTTTTTTTTGTAACAAAAAAAAAAGCACGAAAAAATATAATTAGATGATGTTTGATATATATCATTTCGGTTGTTCACCGACATCAATTAAAAAATGAGTATAAAGATGATAAAAAGTTGTATTTAATAATTTATATTTCACATTATTAACACCATCGGAATCAATACGAATATGTGCTGTACGTAATACTTTCATACGAGCAGGATTTAATTTTTGATGAGTATGTTTTAACATTTTATAACGTGCAACAGATGCTGGTGGACGTTCAACTTTTAAATGTTTATTTATAATACGAGCATGCATATCATCATCTTCACCACCCCAACCCCAGTAATTTGTTGAGTAACCATTGACAAGCAGATAATGTTCACGGCGCATAGCTAAAGAAAAAAAGATTTTCTTCATTAAAAACAACTTTGTTAAACTTATTATAAGTAAGTCGCATGCTTTGGAAGTAAAGCCTTAGAGGAAATTATATCTTCAAAGAAAGTAATTAAAAGTACAACTTTTATATCCAAGGTTTCATTACACACAATGTGTTCTCAGATAACAACTATGTTTAATTATTAATATATAATTAGATATTTTTAAACTGATAAGCCTTAGAGAGATGTTTGCTGTTGTTTTTTTTTATTAGGAAAAGAAGATTATCTGCTCATTTCATTGTACTTTTATAATGTTGACTGAAAATTTTAATAATATATAATATCTCATTAAATAGAATATTTATTAAAATCACGTATATATAGTTGTCATGAAAGACAAACTAGTGAACGTGCATATAAGTAGAATTCCTTCCGCTTCCTGAAGCGACTATAGTTGGAAAACATAGATTAACATTTTTTATCCAATCAGTCACGAAACTATTTCCTCATATACTATTTACTGATATATCTTACCTAAAACACCTCCAACAAGTGTAGCATAGGGTAAATAAAAATGAAATTTATCAATAGCAACACTTAAATGACGTGGATATGTTGGACATGTATACATATTACGATCATCAATTGATAATAAATCAACATCATGCATAATAAAACAATGTACATTTGGTTGAAGTTTTAAAATTTCTTTAAAACATCCATTCATAACAATACCTTTATTAAATGTTTTATCAAATGCTTGTTCACATACATATATTCGATAATCTAATTGTTGTCGTTGTAAAATTTGATGTGTATGATAGAGAAAATGTGTTAAAATATCCCAACGATCACGATATGGTACAATAATTGCAACTTTATGACGAGCTAAACATGTTTTTGGCTGATAAGAACCACCAATATCAACATTAGTATAATAGGATGAATTTGTAGTAATAGAAAAATTTTTTGGTACTTCATTAACTTTTAATGGACCTTGAAGATCAGGTGGTACAGGTGGACAATAAGTTAATGATAGATTTCGAGTTTCTGCTATAGTTAAATAATTTTGAATAAATGAATGTAAAAATGTTTGATAAGTTTTTTCAAAATGATCATCTTTTTTTTTTACAAATATTGCTTCAGATTTATTTAATGGAATATTTTGTTTCATAGATAATGACGATGGTGATGTTTGTGTATATTCAGAAATATTATTTGATAATGAACGTTGAACAATATAAATTACATTGAATATACTTGTAAGTAACATAAAACCAGTACATATAATACATAATAAATATATATGATCTTGTCGGCGACAATTAATCATATTTTTTTAATATTCTTATCACATGATTACAAAGTCATCTGTTAAAAAAATAATGAAAAGTATATTCGCAAGACTGGACAAATTACAAATGCCCTTTCTTTTCTTCTTCTTCTTCTTCTTCTTCTTCTTCTTCTTTTTGTTATAATACGGATTGAAGAAAAAGCAAACTATAGATGCACACATACAAACGCATATAAAGAAACAATGAAATCGGTTTTCTTTCTCCGAGCGTTGACTATGGGTCCGATGCTGTTAAGCTAACATTTCTGTCTTAGCTCAATTTTTTTGTCGCATTTCTTTCTTCACACGACGATTCTGTGCGTGTCTAATTAAGTTTTTTTTCTCTCCAAAGAAATATAGGAAAGAACGGGAATGTAACAAAAAAAAAACAAAGTTAAAAAAAGAATCTCTTGACAAAAATCTTAATAATGCATAGAATTATACAAGTGAACATCTTATGTTCAATTGATATAATTTTTCAATACTACTACTATTACTATTATACATATAAAGGTATATATGCATTGCCTTTTCACAGTTGACATACAATGTGAATAGAAAAAAAAAGATATGAAATGAAATGCTAAGCGAAATCAATCGAACTCCTACCTTAAAAATGTTTCATTTCATTTTACTTTTGATCTATCGTGTTAGTGTGTTACACATGATAAATATAAAGACGAATTGTTACTGATAATTTGATTTCGATTGAATACTAACATTTTTTCTATAAATAGAAAACTAATGAAGCGGAAACTAAGCAACAGAACAAACAGATATAATAAAAAAAAGAAAATCGTTCAGTCCTGTCAATATTTCGATGTTCACATGACCCGTTGATATAATAGGTAATTATATATGAGAGCTAATAACGTTCTACCAACGTATTGATATCGATGAAGCGAGAGACTTTATGCTTTATGATGTATACACAGACGATGACAATAATATTAAACACGAGAAAGAGGAGAAGGTGACTGAAAGAAAAGAAAGAGAAAGAAAAAAAAAGCGAGGATTTTGATTTCATCAAGTAGATATTCGATCAGTTCACATATATGTACATGTAAAGGATCATATCATTTGTATTAAGATGAATGTATGAAACGTTTTCTTTTTATATTTTCCTTTCAATGACATAGACAATTGGAACAATTGACATGATGTCAAGTATGTTCTACCACATCAGTACGAATAATATAGGTAACACTACCTATATACAATCATATTTTTTATAATGTGAATAAATAAAAATGATTTCCCAATACGCTCAGTTATAGATAAACTTACTTTATTGAATAGTAGAAAACTAAGAAAAAATGAATGAATACCAAATAATTATTATCGTGTATAGATTTAATTTATTAGGGATATCCTATGACGTAAAAAAAAATTAAAACATTAGAATTTTGAAAGAACCTTATATGTTTAGTATAGGAAGCAAAAAAATGTCGAAAGTGTTATTAACATAACTTCGTCATGTATTAGGGCATAATATAAATATTCTTGAAGATTATTAATGCAATAGGGTTGAAAAAGTATATTGATGAAAGGGCATTAATAGTAAGTTCGATATTTTTTCTTTTGATATACTTCATATTCGTTTTTCTTTCCTTTTGATTAAGCCCTTGTCATTTTTCATTATGATAAATTTCTTTTGATAGAAAATATTTTTTTTGTATTATTTCCTTAAAAATACTGAAAGAAAATTGAACCGTATTTTGTATTGCTTTTATAATTTTTTTTAAATATGAAATGTAAAATGACTAATGGTTGATATACAAAAGTATTCTTGCAACCTTGTATAGAATAATTATTATAAAAAAAAGACTAGAACCCTAGGACATTAGTTCTTTGATAATTTCTATACGAACTTATGTGATTTTTTAATATTGGTTATTATCAAATGTTATATATCAATATGATAAAATTCTTCAATTGTATCAGATGAAATCAACATTATATAGATACTAATATTTTTTTTATACCGATATCAATAACCTTTAAATCTATTGCAAAGGTAGTTGAAAATGCTTGAGCTTGAAAAATGAAAAAGTGACAAAATCAATTATAAAGGATTAAAATCTTTTTATTGATTTATATTTCTTTTTATCGTAAAGTCCTTACGCCAAATGAATATTTCACGATTAAATATGGTTCTAAATTGAAAGTTTATATACGATCATATTTCCTATTTGTCGATATGAAAAGTCTGAAAAAGTTAATCTCGAGAACCTATAGTCAGTAATAAATTTATTTTTTTGTAATTTCAAACAAAAATAAAAACTTCAATGAATAATAAACTATAAAGTATCATTTTTCAAGGCTAAACATTTCCTACGAAGTTAGAAGAAGTCATTCGTAATTCTTCACTTTTGTCGTAGTAGAAAACTGTTTCTCTGTCAAGCAAGATTCTTTAATATTTCAGGGCAAACTATTTAGCTCAGTGTGGATAGATAAAATAGATGGGTGTAGGTGTGAGTGTGGCTTCCTCAAGGAGATTCTTTTAACACTATTTTCTTTATCAACATGATATACAAACTGAAGTGTTTAATTGAATATATTTATTAGTGATAAATGATAAATAATGAAAAGCAATTGTAAAATGAGATCAGATTCGCAGATTAATCAGCTGACGGTTAATAGTCAGCACTTCTCATCAGTTTCCAGTACTAAGGAACCTGATGAGGGTAGACGCTGATGTGATTCTTTATACGCACGCCCAATCACAGCCTCATCCATATACTTAGACTATTCTTGTCTTCAAAAGATAACATCAGTTTAGTTTCCATTGATTCAAGCAAAAAAACAGTACAAGAAGCTGAAAGCATAAGCATTAATGAGTTTGAGTGAAAGATTGATAATGGGAAAGTTTTATGAAAAGTTCTGGTATAGAACGAATATTGTTATTCGCTTCATATTGTTAAGTGGTTAATGATAGGATAATGTTGTTGGTAGAATACAGAAATGTCAATAAGGATGTTAAATATGATGGAGAAATAAATTTTAACATTGTAGGAGAACACTGACAGTGTTTGAGTTCGTATTTGCAGTGATAATATCGGGTTTATTGTCACCGTTCACATCGGTTACTGCTACTGCATTTGGATGTGTACCAACTGGATAAGTAGTTTGAGGGAAAAAAGTACCGTTGCCTCTGTTGAGAAGAACACTCGCAGTGTTTGAAACTCTATTTGCAGTGACAATATCTGGATTATTGTCGCTGTTCACATCGGCTACTACTGCTGAATTTGGTCCTACATCAACTGAGTAAGTAGTTTGAGAAGAAAAAGTGCCGTTGCCGATGTTGAGAAGGACACCGGCGGTGCGTGAACCCATATTTGCAGTAATGATATCGGAGTTATTGTCGCTGTTCACATCAGCTACTGCTACTGACATTGGACCCCCATCAACTGAGTAAGTAACTTGAGGAGAAAAAGTACCATTGCCTGTATTGAGAAGAACATTGATGGCTTGCGAATCAGTATTTGCAGTGACAATATCGGGTTTATTGTCGTTGTTCACATCGGCTACTGCTACTGATTGTGGATATGCGTCAACTGCGTAAGTCGTTTGAGGGAAAAACGTGCCATTGCCTGTGTTAAGAAGAACACTGACGGTACTTGAATTTATGTTTGCAGTGACAATATCGGATTTATTATCGCTGTTCACATCAGCTACTGCTACTGCATATGGCTTTGCACCAACTGCGTAAGTAACTTGAGAAGAAAAAGTACCGTTGCCTACGTTGAGAAGAACACTGACGGTATCTGAATTTAGATTTGCAGTAACGATATCGGATTTATTGTCACTGTTCACATCGACTACTGCTACTGAGAATGGAACGTAACCAACTGAGTAATTAGCTGGAAGAGAAAAAGTGCCGTTGCCCACGTTGAGAAGAACACTGACGGTAGCTGACGCCTTATTTGCAGTAACAATATCCAATTTATTGTCGCTGTTCATATCGGCGACTGCTACTGACCATGGTTCTGAACCAACTGAGTAAGTAGTTTGATCAAGAAATGTACTATTACAAGCTTCTAAACAAGAAAAAGATTTCAACTACATTTTTATCATTAAAAAACAGTATTTCATTGTCTTAATCTATTTGATCTTCAACAGTTCAACTCAAATCAAAGCAAACCAACCAACAAATAAAATCATTAGACTATATTTATAACTTTAATTGTGATCTACTAGAATCCCACTAGTAACATTGTTTTTATGGTTCTATTTATCGTCATGAACGATGTTTTAATCTATTCAGACATCATTGCAGTTATTAATCTCGGATTCAGTTAAGAAATTTGTCTCTTCTGCATTAGTTTTCACATATTCATTCATTCATTTCAATGTCTTTTAAATATAGAATTAATTTTGTGACATTCTAAACATATTCTCACGAAATACATGTTGCGATGAGATAACACTTTGCAACAATCACTAAAAATATACTTCTATTCTATTTTAGTAATATCAAGTGAATCGAACAAAGATCGTCGATTTATATGATAGGTCGATTTATTCGAGTGCATTGTAGAATCTCTTCTCTAAAACGAACACACATAGAATACCCCGAAGTATAAAATGAGAGTGACTGATCCTCCGTAAGGTTTACATAAGAAGTTTAAACTGAACAAGAGGAGTTCAGGAGAAATGAAATTTGTCCTCTTTTACTTTTCTACAGAACATAGTAGTCTTGTTAATAACTTTGATCCTTTAAGCATCTATAGAAAAGTGAAATCTAACATACAAAGGTCGATATCTACATATAAAGTTAAAAACGAATAAATTTGTATTTCGTGGACCTGTCACAAGTTGCTGTAGCTTCGAGCTGAGTTCTCCTTTAAAACATTCTGAATTTCATTTTACACAAAATTTTACATGAATTTATCTCATAAAGATAAAAGTAAATAAAATTGTTTCAGCAATACTACAAACATATAATATGACTAACTTTCAAAATAATATTCGAAAAGAAATGTTGTCTGAAAATTACTTATCGTCATCAAACATATTCAACAAATAAAAACACGAACTTCTAAGAGCATATAGTTTCTCGAAATAAACAACAACTAATTGATTGGTAACTAAAAAAGGTACTATGATCCGTGTGGTATATTACTGACCGATTGATCCTATTGTCCATGATGTTTCTTCTGTAGATGATGATGTTGCTTCTGTCGATGATAATGAGGATGTTGTTGTTGATGATGGCGTTGTGGCTGCTTCTACTATTAATGATGTTTCTTCTGTAGATGATGATGATGATGTCGCTTCTGTTGATGATGACGTTGTTGTTAATGGCGTTGTTGTCGGTGATGTAGTTGAGGATGATTGTGCTGATGTTGATGTTGTTGTTGTTGATGTTGTTATCGGTGATGTTGTTGAAGTTGATGATGATGATGATGTTGTTGTCGACATCTTTGTTTTAACGACTGTTGTTGTTTGGGTTATAGGTTTTTTTGTTGTTGTTGTGGATGTAGCTTCATTCTTCTTTCCGTTTGGCATGATTACATTATTATCAAAAGATGCCTGTTTTATTTGATCTTCCGTTATTTTAGCTCCTGACAAATCACTGTTTGAAAAGTGTGCACCTGTCAGATTTGAGTTTCCAAAATCTGCTCCCGATAGATTTGAGCCAATAAAACTAGCACAAAGTAAAGATGAATCAACAAATTTTACCTTATCTAACCGTGCTCCATTAAATGATACACCATTTAAATTAACAGATGAAAACTCCCCATTTGACATTGATACTTGTTCAAAAGAAACACATCGTAAATTCAACATATTTAATATGCCAGTTTCACTTGCTAAATGTACCTTATCAAAACTTAATTCATTCAAACGAATTATATCATCTAGTTTTGTTGTTCTACATCCATTAGTACAATTATTTCTACCAATTAATTGTTTTTCCTTAAGAAATTGTATAACATCTGCTTTACGTATTGTATCCCATTGACGATGAGCAGCACGATAATATGCATTTGCAAATGCCCATGGATTTTTTGAGTCGTTGAGATAACCATCTTTATCTAATTTATAAATATTATTTAAAAATCCATCATAAAGTGTTTGTTGTCTTAATTCTCTTGATTGTGCAAAATCAAACTTTTGTTTTTTCTCAGCTTGTTGTTTTTGTTGTTCAGAGCCAATTGAAGTATAAATAGCAAGAGCTATGGGTATAGCGACTGAACTTATAATGGCTAATATATCTTTAAATGTAAAATGCCAAAACGATCGCTTGTTTAGATCTACCATAATTTCAATGTGATTTTAGAATGAACAGTGAAATATTGTGGTTAGTTCGCATATTAATAAACCACAATTGTTACTCATAGCTAATCTTTCTCTCTTTTGCCGTTTCTCTGTTATTTAACAACATATTAAATAACAGTTTTAATTATATTCTCAAAATCAAATGTTACAAAAAAAATTCATTACAAACACAACAGTAATTAGAAAAATAGTTTCGTGTTACTTTCAACTCACTGAACATTGAATTTGATCTAAAATAACAAAATGTATAAATACTGGTAATTGATAATCGGTAGAGATGATGAAAGAAAACTTATACTGTTGATTTAAATATCGGAGATTTCTTCGTTTGTCTACATACAAAACAAAATCATAGAACTTCATTAATTCTCCAAAATAATGGAAAATATATTTTAACAGTAAACTATGAAATGATCTACTTATATCCATTACAAGGTTATACAAAAAAAAGAAAAGAGACACTTTAGACTTGATGAACTATTTTTTTTAATCAAATCCTTTGTTCCATGCAGACAGTTCTGAACAAATTTTTTTCTTTTAAAGTTTTTCATATGAAAACTCTTGATATGTATAAGTTAGTAGAAACAGTTTTATAACTGACTCAAATTGTTTAAATTTACAGTTCATTAAAATTAAGAATATGATTGCAAAAGTAAAATACATTTGGTATATTTGATACTAAAATGAAAAGAAAAGACTAATTTATCGATTAGATCAACCTATCGTATCTATGTATTCATATGAAATAAACAATACGTCGACAATATTAATAAATTAATTAACTAGACAACAATGATTTATAAACTTTTTTCAATTTTTTTTAATTTCTTTTGCTTAAGATTTATGTTCTCTTCTTCCCTCAATAAAAAAATATCAATTTCAAACAAAAAAATATCATCTTATCGATATCATGTTAGATTTTGACTTTAAATAAATGATAGAAAAGATTTTTCAAATGAGAATAACCTATAAGAGATAAAATATTGATAATTACATTAATTTAAATAGTATTAGATCGATTATTTAAATGTTTATTTGAAATATTTTGAAATTTAGAATACATCAATCATTTATATTATTATCAAAAATTTGCAAATTAAGGCATTTCATTTCAGTTTTTTCAAACATTACATGTGTCAACTGAAAATATAAAAATATGAAAAGAGTATGAGAAATATCTTATAATATATTACGATTTTTTCATTATACAATATCGGTAGGGCCTAATAGCATCAGGATCAGTTGATAACCAACAATCTACGATTTCAGTTTTATCACCATCAATTTTTATTAAAGTCTTTGGATTGACTCGATTCTGAAGCACAACATAATATTGTTCTTCATTACAAGGAAGAGTGAGAGCATAAAGTTTTGCTATCTCAATATCAGGTGTTGTGTAAATACCTCGCCCATAAGTAAAAAGCGTATGTTCTGTTGCTTGGTATGATACTGGTCAATGATCAGGACTATTATTTGATCCAAGCCATACTTCATTTTCATATTTTCCAACAATTTTAATTGCAAAACGTTTCCACCCACATGATCGACAATATTTAATACCACCATAAATAAAACTTTTCCCTTTATCATCAATATAAGTAAAATGTTTATCGTATTGTTTATCCCTTGAATTTCCATCTAATAGTAAAGTATCATTTGAATTCATAGTTCCTAAAGATAGAACATATATTTCAGTGGAATCTTGAATATCATATTCACTTAACAAATTACTTTCATCAAATTCTTTTCTATAATAGCTCTTGGTGGTGTGGGTGTGGTTGAAAGTGACGATGATGACCTATGATTTGCTCAAACTCTCAGTTACATCCACACCCGCTTATGAACATTTCAGATTTAAACCAGAATAAGAACATTACAATTTATTCGATTTATCTTTTTCTTTTTTTGTATAATTATTTTATTGGCGAATATTAAATAGTGTCACCAACGTTCATCGTAGTATTGTTTATAATAAAACTATTTACAGACAACGTTTTATTACAATAAAAGAAAATATCACCGAAATTCTACGACATAATCAATAAGTGGATGTGGACATGTTATAGTTATTCTTCATCAATACACCCGTCGAATAATTTACTATACTTTTCTTATTTATGAACATATTTATTTGATAGTTCTAACTAATCGAATATATTAAATAAAGTGACATATAAAAAAAAGTTTATAAGAAATATTAGTAATAGCATACACATAGTATAGAAAAATAAAAACGTTTCAAGTTAGAGAGATAAATTAACAAGTTTGTAATAAAATCTTTAAATTGTCAGTACCATAGTTAGCGACCGCAAAATCCAGTTTTCTATCGTTGTTAAAATCACCAACAACAACAGAAAACGGGAAAGATCCATAACTAACAAAATATACTTTTGAATTTGTAAATCTACCACCACCAGATCCAAACAATATAACTACATTGCTAGCACGATAATTAGCGACAATAATATCTAATAAGGTGTCATTATTGAAATCACCAATGGCAACTGAGTAAGGTTCAGCGTTAATTCCAGTTGAATATATTGTTTGATTCATAAAAGATCCATTGCCATAACCGAGAAATACACTGATATTACTATCATTAATATTACTGACAATCATATCTAATCGAGTATCATTATTTAAGTCAGCAACAGCTAAAGACCATGGACCGGAGCCCGTTGGAAACGTTGTTTGATTTAAAAAAGAATTATTACCAAATCCAAGAAAAATACCAATATTATTGGTGCCTGTATTCGTAACTGCGATATCCATATAAGAGTCATTATTAAAATCGCCAACGGTCAATGATCGCGGAATAGAACTCTTACCAGTTATCAGTGTCATTTGATATTGGAAAATCTTATTTACATAACCAAGAAATATACTTACAGTGTTACCGTTCGAATTAGTAACGACGATATCTAGTCGAGCGTCATTGTTGAAATCACCAATAGCTACAGAATATGGAATTGAACCAGCTAAATACGTAGCTTGTTTTGTAAAATAACCATTACCATAACCTAGAAGTACACTTATAGTGTTCCCATTCGAATTACTAACGATGATATCCAGTCGAGTATCTTTGTTGAAATCACCAATAGCTATAGAAGATGGATAAGGACCAGTTGGATAGTTAGTTTGATTTGCAAAAGAACCATTGCCATATCCGAGAAATATACCCACAGTGTTGTCATATCCATTAGCAACAACAATATCCAGTCGAGAATCATTATTAAAATCACTAACAGTTACGAAAGATGGCCAAGTGCCAGTTGAATACGTGATTTGTTTTTCAAAAGAATCATTACCGTATCCGAGAAGTACACTTACAGTGTTGTCATTTTGATTAGCAACAACGATATCTAGTCGAGTGTCATTATTGAAATCACCAACAGCTATAGAATATGGAGAAGAGCCAGTTGAAGACGTAATTTGTTTTGCAAAAGAACCATTGCCATAACCGAGAATTACACTTACAGTGTTGTCATTCTGATTGGTAACAACGATATCCAGTAGAGTGTCATTATTGAAATCACCAACAGCTACAGAAGATGGTAAGCGGCCAGTTGAATAGGTATTTTGATTTGCAAAAGAACCATTGCCATATCCGAGAAGTACACTTGTAGTGTTGTCAAATAAATTAACAACGACGATATCCAGTCTAGTGTCATTGTTGAAATCACCAACAGCTAAAGAATATGGTGTGCGGCCTGTTGAATACGTAACTTGTTTTTCAAAAGAACCATTACCAGATCCGAGAAGTACACTTACAGTGCTATCATAATAATTAGCAACGACGATATCTAGTCGAGTGTCATTGTTGAAATCACCAACAGCTATAGGCTGTGGTGAAGAGCCAGCTGAATACGTAACTTGATTTGTAAAAGCCCCAGGATCAAATGTAACAAATAGATCTATATTATCAGTATTGTCATATGCGACAATGATTTCTGATTGTCCATCATTGTTGAAGTCACCAGCAGTAACAACTACAGGAGCGAAAATCAAGTTAGATCCATCAGTTATTTGACGTGTAAATGTTCCCTTTCCATTTCCAACAAGTATATCAATGTTTTTGCTACCATAATTAGCTACAGCAAAATCATATTGACCATCGTTATTAAAATCACCTATAGCAAGTGAATCTGGATTTGAGCCCGTTGGAAATGTTTTCTGTTCTGCAAATAATCCATTACCATTTCCAAAAAGTATACCAATATCATTAGTACCATAATTAACGACGACAAGATCTAACATCGTATCATTGTTTAAATCATCGACAGCAACATATTGTAGACGAGAACCACCACCAGCTGCAAATGTTATTTCGTTACCTAACGATCCTTTGCTATAATGAAGCAAAACACTTACAGTGCTGTTATCCTGATTGGTAACGACAATATCAGCCCGAGTGTCATTGTTGAAATCACCAACAGCTATAGAATATGGAAAAGAGCCAGTTGAATACGTAATTTGTTTTGCAAAAGAACCATTGCCATATCCGAGAAGTACACCAACATTGTTGGCACCTCGACTAACAATGATGATATCCTGTAGAGTGTCTTTGTTAAAATCACCAACAGCTACAAAAACTGGACTAGGGCCAGTTGGATAGGTAGTCTGTTTTGCAAAAGAACCATTGCCATAACCGAGAAGTACACTTACAGTGTCCTCATTCTGATTGATAACGACGATATCTAGTCGAGTGTCATTGTTGAAATCACCAACACCTACAGAATTTGAATAATCGCCAGTTGAATATGTAGTTTGGTTTGCGAAAGAACCATTGCCATAGCCGAGAAGTAAACTTACACTTTTGCTGTCTGAATTAGCAACGATAATATCCATTTGAGTGTCATTATTGAAATCACCAACAGCTACAAAAGTCGGATAAGGACCAGTTATAAATGTACTTTGATCTTCAAAAGAACCATTGCCATATCCGAGAAGTACACTTGCAGTGCTATCATTATAATTCGCAACGACGATATCTAGTCGAGTGTCATTGTTGAAATCACCAACAGCTACAGACGATGGCGATGAGCCAGTTGAATACGTAATTTGATTTGCAAAAGAACCATTGCCATAACCGAGAAGTACACTTGTAGTGTTGTCATCCGCATTGGCAACGATGATATCCAGTCGATTGTCATTGTTGAAATCACCAACAGCTACAGAAGATGGTGAGCGGCCAGTTGAATAGGTAGTTTGATTTGCAAAAGAACCATTGCCATAACCGAGAAGTACACTTACAGTGTTGTTCTTCGTATTAGCAACGACGATATCTAGTCGTGTGTCATTGTTGAAATCACCAACAACTACAGACGATGGCAGAGAGCCAGTTGAATACGTAGTTTGTGGTTGAAAGCCTTCATCATAACCAAAAAGAATTCCTATACTGCCAGTATCATTGCTGATTATAATTACATCGAGTAGATTGTCTTTATTGAAATCGACTGCAGCAAGTGAGGTAGAAGAAGAGGAACCGGTTGAATTCATTGTTGGTTGAGAAAAACTACCATTGCCAATTCCCAGCAATACGCCTATGTTATTAGTACCTTTATTACTGACGACTAAATCAAGTCGATTGTCTTTGTTAAAATCGCCCAGATTAATAGAATATGGTGAGGAAGTATCAAGCGAATATGTTGTTTGACTTGTAAAAATGCCGTTGTTGTTTCCTAGAAGTACACCGACATTGTTTGCTCCATTATTAGCGACAGCGATATCCAATAAGTTATCATTATTAAAATGCCCAACGGTGAGTGAATATGGATGTGAATTAATTCCAGTTGAAAATATCTGTTGATGTAAAAAGGTTCTGTTGCCATTTGCAATAAATATACCTATATTATTTGTGCCGTAATTTGCAATAGCAAGATCTAAATGATTATCATTGTTAAAATCTGCACTGATGACCGAGAATGGCGAAGAATCATATCCAGTTGAATATGTGACTGGATATGAAAACGTTCCATTTCCAAATCCATAAAATATGCTAATACTATCAGTTCCATAATTAGCAGTAATAATATCGTATGATGTGTCATTATCGAGATCAGCTATATGTATCCAAATTGGGCGAGATGAATTAGTTGAGATTACTGTTTCATTGATGAAAGAGCCGTTTCCACCTCCAAGAAATATACCGATGCTATTAGTACCGAAATATGCGACAGCAATATCCGTGTGATGATCGTTGTTAAAATCACCGATGGCTACCATGTATGGTGCAGAATGTAAACCGGTCGAATACATCATATTACTTGAAAAAACACCATTATTATATCCAAGAAATATAGATATACTATCATCGACACGATTAGCAACAACAATATCTAATTGTTCATCACCATCGAAATTGCCAACGGCAACAGATCGAGGGCCAAAGTTGTATTCGATTGGGTTCTGTGGAGTTTGTGTAAATTTTAGTTCACACTGTTGAACTAAATGAAAAACAGAGAAATAACGTAAAACTTAATCTATTATTATTATGTAATTATTCTTATTGAATTCATATAATCTTATATAGTTTTTCGGCACTTTTTGGAGTAAGAAGAAATTATATTAATGCCTCAATCTATATTTTTAGATAATGAAAAACAACACACAGAATATAATAAGATGTTTATCGATTGATTTGAACTCTTCTTCCTCAAAGAAATACACTAATTCTATTACTGAGAATGAATAAATAAAAATAAATTTATATCATATATATAGTTGGTATAAAAAGAAAAAGCAGAACCTACCTTTTGCTTTTGGTAAAGTGAAACAAACCACCAATACACTAACAGTTATTGCTAGACTTGTGAAGAGAGCAAATGCACCTACAGCTGTTGAAGTTCGATGTCTTGACCAACACGAATGTTTCCTAATGAAAAAATATTCTATATATATTATAATGCTTAAAGTGAAAAGTAAATGATATACAAAGCTGTTGGAGTCATTGGCAACTTCTTCATTTTCTTAGTAACTCCGACAGATTTTGTTGCATTAGTTTGATTTTGTGTTGAATTCTCGTTTTGTTGATTATCGACGTGAGTAATCTCCTCGGTAAATGAATGTATAACTGTAATATCACCATTATCTACAGAATCGGCGTTCATCTATAGTAAAATAAGTCATATTTAATAAAAAACACTTTTCTATATATTACCTTTTGTATTATTGATGATGTCTTTTGAATGTAGGAAAACTACAAATTCTTAATAAATAAGAAATTTTTTAACAGAATAGATAAGCTGATGTGATAAAGTTAATCTAGAATATTAAACGTGAAAAAAATTTATCTACAAATTACTTCTTCATCAACAGAAAAAATTCAAACTGTCTCTAACAGATACACTATTTGAAATAGTTTCCGTCTTATCCTAAATCAAAACATAAAACATAAATAAATATTAAAAATATTTATGTAAAAAAAAGTTTGAGTCGAGATATAACTTTGTTATCCTCGAACTGACTTGATTGGCTTAACTACTTTTGGACACCCCTAAGTATTTTATTGATATCGTTGTTTTCTTAATTTATTTTCCTCATTAAATGGCAATAAGGAATGATTTTATTTCAACCAAAGACTGTCATATAAATTTACTCGATAGATCAGTTTGACCTTATAAATTATAATTTGCTGATTTAGTATGTAGCCAGTAAAGTAATTAATTACGAGAGAAGACAATTGGCTGTAAAAGCTAGTACTGTACAAATCGTAATAGTTAATTATTCTCAAATGGTTTGACGAATATTTTTTATTGTAATTTACACATAAATAAAAGTATAAAAAAATAAAAGTATAAAAAAATGATCATACTTACCTTTTGTTTGAATATACAGTATGCTTATCGTTTACTTTTTCGTCTGAGTATTTATTCTCGCTGATCAATAAGGTTATTATCTATCGGGTACCTTTTTTTTATACATATTGGGTCATTGTGTTACTGAAATATTTATATAAAATATTTTATCAACGAAATAAATAACGTCAAAACAACATTATAGTCATGTAAGTTTTATGAATAGAATTTATAATCATATGACAATTTGATGCGCATATATATATAACGTATACAATTATCTTTATGATATCGATAAAGAATAAAATGACAAGATTAATTACTTCGAAATAAAAAATACATATATTCTAATGAGACGACTTTAATTTCTCTTTCTTTTCTCTGAAGTATCGGCGTTTTCCCCATCAATCATATTTGTGATGAGACACAAACATGAAAAACAACTCCATATAAGGTAATTTCAAAAGAGATAAATATAATTTTGTTAACGGTCATTTTTATAATCAAAGAGATACAAAAACAACATTTGCATTTCAAGTACTATTGTAAATACTCTAAGGCAATTCAAAAATTATTCTATTAGGTTTTCAACGACCATTGAAATGGTTTTGATTAGTAGTAAATGTCATTATTTAAATGAGCGGTGTCTGTAAGAATTTAATGCCCTAGTACTTTTTTTTGAAAAAACGGATATAACAGATAATAACACAAAAGGAAAACTAAAGAAAATTATAAATTAAAGTTTAAGGAAATAAGAAAATATCTCTTTATAACAAATACAACTACTAATTTTTAAATGTTGAATTTATTTCAACTGAAGATTGTTTTTCATCGATTAACGAAGAAATCATTTTATTAGCAAATCGTTTTTTTTATTTAAATATTATGCACGTTGTTGAAGACACATGTTATTAATGACCGAAACGACGTGAAAAATAACAATATTACTTCGATTTCATAACGACAAAATATATGCATGTATAAACATGACTCAGTAGTTTATTATGAAGAAAAATACAAGTGAAGAAAAGAAAAACATCGTTCTACAGTAACAACGTGACGTCTCTTCTTTTTTTTTACCTTTTATTATTATGAGTTATACGTCGAAAAAAAAGACAATTGTGTAATAAGAAAAAGTATTTATGGTATTAATTTAATGGAAAACTTTAACATTAAATCAAATTAAACAAACATTTTGTTATTTGCATCTTTTAAATGAATTATCCGAAAAATTTCCTTGTTTCGTTCTAATATCAGTTTCCTTTCCGAAATCAAGAATTTTACAAGATTTTCATAAATATAATAAACAAATTTTTCAAATTATATTCAAATATGTATTGAAATAAATAATCAGTCTTTCTCCTTTCGATAGACAGAATTTAGTAATTTTAATCTATGATGGATCAGTAGTAGTTCAATGAAAGTATTCTGTACAATTTTGATTACCTATTAGAAGTTTAAAAAAACAAATATGTTTTGAAATGTCGCTTCGGTGATGTCGCTTTTAAAATTAATGATATTTTTTGTTTTGTTAAATCATGATGTTACTTAATAACCTGTATTTATCTTTAAATAAATAGATAATCAACAATAAAAATAAAATCTACTCAAAATCACATATTTTTCATTGCACTGAAATGAATTAATTATTGCAAATGAAAATGAAAAGTTGTTTGTTCATGATATTCTTCATCGGGACGAAGAATAATACTTGGAAATTGAGGCTAAAATAAAAAAAAACAAGATTGCATATAAAATAAAAGAATCAAATTTACTTGATTATTAACACTATCACTATAATTTTGTGTTTCTAAACATAATGCACCATGTTTATTATATGCTGCTCCATTGCGTCCTTTAACATTATTCAAAAAATTTCCGGTATAAAATTGAAGACCTTTTTGAGTTGATTCAACAGATATTATTCGACCGCTTGGTTCATGAATAAGTCTATTTATAAACAAGATACATATTTCTTTAATATTAGAATTTAGTGCACTTACTTGGCAAATGATCGTTTACCATTACCATCAATAACATACATTAAATCATAACCATCAAAAGATTCATCAATACGTTCACCAATTCGAGTTAATTTTCTGAAATCATATGGAGTATTTTCTACTGGTTTAATTTCTCCTATATGAATATATGATTAGAAATATGGTCAATATTAAAATAACAATATACCAGTAGGAATAAGTTCATCATCGACTGGAAGAAATTTTTCAGCTGGTACTTCGAATAGATGATCAAGTATTGTTCCACTTGTCTAGAAAATCCAAGTTTCAAAAAATACATATCATATATATGATGAATATATATATTTACATCTCCACCGAGATTAAAATAAACATGATTTGTCATATTAATTGGTGTTGGTTTTGTTGCTGTTGCATGAAAATCAAGTATTAATCGATGATCATTTGTCAATGTATATTTAACAGTTGCATTGACTTGACCAGGATATCCATCTTCACCTTTACAAAATAAAATAGAAATCATTCAACAAAAAAAAAAATAATTACCATCAGGACTTTGATATTTAAAAACAACTGTATCACTATTTTCTGTTGTACTATCCCAAACACGTTTATTAAAAACGCCATGTAAATGATGTTTTTTAGTACTATCATTTTTGCCTAATTCATATGTAATACCATCTAATTCAAAACGACCATTTTTTATTCGATTTGTTACTCGACCAACTGTAGCACCAAAAAAACATTGATCATCAACATAACCTAATTATAACAGAATGATAAAAATCAATTAGAAAATTTTCATACGAATTCATTTACCTTCTAAAGTATCATAACCAAGTGTAATTTCAGCTATTTGATTTTGTTTATCAGGTTGTCGAATTGATTGAATAATAGCACCATAATCAATTAAAGAAACTTCAAAACCATCCGATGTTGAAAGAGTATATCTAAATATCAAATTTTATTTTAAAATATAATTCAAAATTTTTTTTTAATTTACTTTTTTATTTCATTTTTATTCTTTGTAACACCAAATAGACTTTCAGTTATTTTTACACCGGCCATTTTATCTTAATCTCGAATACTAAAAGAAACGTTTTTTTTTCTACCTATATAAATAAAACTATATAGTCATTTAAGACTACTAACGTTCTCTATAACATATTACTTTATCTAACCAATAGAATAATATAATATTTAATTCATCTGTATTTCCATTTATACGCGCTTATCAATATAAATTTTATTTGATATATTTTTCTTGATTGATATAATTTTTATTCCTAATAAAACTGTCTACAAGCACAATACCTAGTAATGTTACTCTACTACAGACATCCGCATGTAATTATAAATCATATTGAATTTTGTTTTCCAAAAATTTATAATATTTTACAGCTTCGATGGCTTCAAAACCATTATCACCTACTGTTTTAACTATTATAATCCTTATTGTAAACTATTCTGTTGAAGTTTTCACGTCTATTTTAATATAATATTTAGATTGTGATGATAGTTTTATTTTTGTTCATAGCTGGTTTTTTAATTTATCGATATCATACAAATCAACGTCGATATTTAAAAACGTTAACACGTTCACTCTATGATACACTACAAAGATCATCTTACGATAATCCTGTCATATCACCTTATTTACAAATAAATCCATCAATTGGACAAGGACTCGATAGAACAGCTGCTTCTGATTCACACTATAGTCAATATGCTGTTTCTCATGTATATAAATAAATAAAAAAAAAGGAGAAAGAGAAAGAGAGAATTATTAAAATATCTAAAATAAAAGTAATTTTACGCGCGTATATAATTTATATAATACTTTCTTATACAAAAATGAAAAAATATCAACAGATAAAAAAGGATACTATTCAATCACCAACTAAATTGAATAAAAAAAAATATTCAAGTACTGATCGTGTTATGAATAATGTACCATATCCACCCACTCATCTATTAACTATAAAAGAGATATTTGGCACAAGTGGTTAGTAATGATGATGATTATGAATATATTAGTTTTTTGTTCTAAAAGATAAACCTAATCTTCCATTACTTCTTCAACATTTGGAAGCAGAAGGTCGTCTTGAACTTGATGCAGCACTGACAATTATGATTCGAGGTCGAGAATTAACTGCACGAGAACCAAATATGCTTGAAATTGGTACACCAATTACAATTGTTGGTGATATACATGGACAATTTTTTGATATGGTATTTATTTATTTCTATCAAAAATAATTATCATATGTATTTAGCTTAAAATGTTTGAAAAAGGTGGTGATGTATCCTCTAATCAGTAAATAAAATAATTCCTTATCTTATTATTTAATAATTCCAATATATACAGATATCTATTTCTTGGTGATTATGTTGATCGTGGTCAATTTTCTGTTGAGGTTGTACTTTATTTATGGGCAATTAAAATTGCTTACCCTGATACATTCTTTCTTCTTCGAGGCAATCATGAATGTAAGAATAATCAACAATGTTCATATAGATTTTTTGTCTATATTATTTTTAGGTCGGAATTTAACTGTTTATTTTACGTATGTTCAAACATTTTAAATGTTAAGAGACATATTCTATATTTATTTTAGATTTAAAGATGAATGTCTTTTAAAACTTGGTGATGTATTCTATGATGAATGTATGAAATCATTTGATTGTTTACCAATAGCAGCATTAGTTCAAGGACAATTATTTTGTATACATGGATGTATATCACCAGAACTACGACATTTACGAGAAATAACTGATCTTCATCGAGCTGTTGAACCACCAACAAAAGGTTATTAGATTATTATTAAATAAATTAGATTAAAACATGTTTTTTTGTTCTTTATCAAGGACCTCTATGTGATATTCTTTGGGCTGATCCAACAGATAGTTATGATAATGAAAAACTCGAACAAAAATATGAAATGTATACACATAATGGACCACGTGGTTGTTCATATAATGTATCTTATAAAGCAATGTGTAAATTTCTTGATGATAATGATCTTCTTTGTGTTATTCGTGCACATCAAGTACAATCAGCTGGTTGTAAAATGTATAAAAAACATGAAAAAACATTATTTCCAACTTTGGTAACAATTTTTTCTGCACCAAATTATTGTAAATTAGTTTTTGGAATTAATATTTAAATATAAAACCAATTTTAGGTGAAGTTTATAAAAATCGTGGTGCAATCTTACGTTATGATGGTTCTGTAATGCATGTTTTTCAATATAAGTAAGAAAAAATATTAAATCTTTTTTTTTTTTTTGCTAAAATCTATTTTATTCAATCAGATGGGTTAAACATCCATATGTTCTTCCAAATTTTCTTGATGCATTTCGATGGAGTATTCCATTTGTTTTGGAAAAAGTAACAGATATGCTTTTAGCTGTTTTAAAATATTGTTCAGATGAAAATGATAGTCGATTATCAAAACGTACTCAAATTATTGAAAAAGTAAGTTACAGATTTTATGATCACTTGAGATAAGGATAAGTCTCATAAGATCATTTTCTTTTCTAAAACTAGATTGTTCATTATTATGCATCATTATCTGATGAAGCTGAACAATCATTAGTATTTGGTAATATATTACCACCAACAAATGTTCGTACTTCTGATTCTTCTCGTGTTGTTAATAAAGGACAAATTGATTTTCAAACAGCACAACGAATGGATTATGCTAATGAACATATACCATATAATCAATTTCGTCGTAAATAATTATTCATTTCATTAAAGACAAAAACAAAAAGAAGAAGAAATTATAGAGAACGGAAGTATTCATTCATTCATTCTTTTTTTTCTATGATTTCATACGGGTTCGTAATGATGCCGATGAAGATAGATATTGTTTATTAGTATAACGTGATTGTAGACGATTAAGAAGAAATAACATTTCTTCGTCAGGTAATGTTTTTGATTCATGTAAACAAGTATTTGTTGTAATAACTACTGGTGTTGACATAGGCTGTATTGGTGGTGATGATGATGATAGTGGTGCAAGTACAGCACGTTGATCATTCATACGAGAATTCTATTTAATACAAAATAAATTTCGATTAATATTTAATTAATAAACTAACTTGAGATTTAGCAAGTAGATCAAGAAATTTTTCATTGACTACTGAAAGTTGTTGACTTGTTCTACTACCATTATTATGATTTGTTGAACTAGGAAAAGTTGTTCGTTGATCATCTAGACGAAATTGTTGTAGACGATCAATTGTATTTAATATATCATCAAGTTGAGTACTATTTCCTGAAAAAATTAAAAGTTGATATGATATTTCTTATGCAAATGAGCACTGAATACTCAACAATCGTTTTATCGAAGAAAATAAATTACGATCAGAAAGAGAAGATCACTAATATATTTAATCTGATATTCAAATTTGAATAGATCAATATTAAACCTTATACTATTATTAATATTTATGAAAAGCTTATCTTGAAAATCTAATTTTAATTTGTTAGATAGATATATTCTATGATTTAATCGGATAATAAAAGGGAAATTGAATCAATCATTGTGCCCTTCGAAAATTTTTGTTTTCAATGAAATATTAAATAACATACGTTGTCCGGGTAAATCGGGTTTCTTAGTATTAGACTTTTTTATTTCACAACGTTGATCATCAAAACGTGATTTTTGCATACGATCAACAAGATTAGCAAGATCGTCAGTATCAGTTGGTGATGACTAAAATATTTTAATCATAAAAGAGAATTTTGAATACGAAATTTTTTTTTACTTGTTTTCTTAATGATAATGATGATTTTTTTGAAAGATTTTGTATAAAACTACCTGTTTTCACTTTTTTATTAGTATTCGCTATGGATTTATCATCTGGAAAACTATCAGGAACAGCTGAATTTGAACGTATTGAAAGTGGAATTTGCGAATCAAATATACTGAGACTAATTGATTCAGTACGAAGATTCTAAATTGAAAAATAAAAAAAAAATGTTTCAAAATGATTAATCAACGAACTTTATTTAAATTAGGTTTTGTAGTAGCTTTTATTTCATTTGATTCTTTAATCTTTTTAGAAAATAAATAAATGGATATTTAATAATAAAAAAATCGGTTTTTTTACTTCTCGTTCAAGTGCTGTATGAAGACTACGATATTTTTTTCCTTTCGTAAATTGATTAGTATTATCATATAATTGACTTAAGATAAAATATGCTTGACATTGACCATTAGAATCTTGATATTGTTGTGCTAAATTTAAATGTTTTTCATGAAAATATATAGCAGATTTATATTCTTGTTTAATATTATAAATACAACCAATTATAAAACTAATTTGTGCAATAAATAAATCATCAACCTTTATTTCATCTATAGTCAATGCTTCTCTATTATTCAATAAAATAAAAATATATTTATATTTAATCAATTAAAGAGAGTATATACCTATAATGATCAAGTGCTTTATCAAAATCTTCTAGATGTAAATAAATATCTCCAAGGCTAGCATGTGCACGTCGTTGACCGATTTGATCTTGACATTCTTTAGCAATAGTTAAACGCTATATAATTAAAAAAAAAGATTTTTTCTTATAGAAATATATATGTAATATATACCTTATCAAAGTATTCAATTGATGTTGAATAATCTTGTGATGCATAATTCATATTATCAGACTTGTCAAACGTTTGTCCTTCAGCCATTGTTTAATAAAATCTAGTGGATTTCTTTTTTATTCTAATACAGACCAGATTATAAGTACTGTAAACTATTGATATTGTTTGTTTTGTCTAGAGAAGAAAAAAATATAAAGAAAATAAATAAAGTATCGATATAGACAAACATCTAGCTATTATTTTCCAAAAAAATATTTGCAGATGTCTATTTTTTTGTCATATTATTGTTCGTGTTGCATGATATTTTGTTATGTTAAGAATGGTATTAAAATAATACTTATGGGAAAAATAAATCACATCTCATTTCTTCTCTTATCTATCTACCTGACATGTATACAAAAGAAAAAAAGTAACTATTTTATCAATTAAAAATCATCTATGTAATCAACTGAGAAAAATCTATTTATATATATATATAAAAGAAATAAATGTAAAATTCATGTGAATTTTTAAATTTAAATTAATATTTTTGAAACGATACATTTCTTTTTTTCAAATAATAAACGCTTATTCTGCTGTTCATATTAATTAGCTTCTCAAAAAGAAAAAAAAAGAACGGAAATAGTAGATGTATATCACGATAGAAAAAGGAAGGGAGACGAAATTCTCTTCTTATTATATCGACATATATTTGATTGAATCGGTAATAAAATAATTCTAAATAAAAAAAAACACAACAATAATAAAAAATGAATAAGTAAAAGTTTGATTTGTTTTCTACTATATAATAATAGCTCTACTTTGTCATATATATTCTCAATATAGTTTATTCTGTTCGGGATAGATACTATAGATAAAATTCAATAAATTATGGTAATATTCTATAGAATCGTTCGATTTCTTTTTTTCTCACTCGCATCGAACAGATTACAACAAAAAAGAGGAAAAAAACGAGTAGAGCAAAAAAATTTTCTTTTTTTTGTACGAAAACAAATGACGAACGAGAAATGCGCATTAACTATCGTATTTAAATCAAGCACGTATGATACTCTTATCATAAGAGATTCAATTAAAGCTAGGATAGAAGAATAATTATTATGTAAATCGATCTTGATAGATTTTATTTACAATAAAATATACCTTTTTCTTGTTGAAAAATGATAAATTGATAATTTTCTTCTTTAGTTTTGTTATATAGTCAACATCTCCCATAGATCGTTTTGAAAAGCACTATTATGTGTGTGTGTGTGTGTGTGCAGAAACATAGTGACATACGTGCAACACGCAATGGAGATGAAGTAAAAAGCATGAGCTACTATCTATCTAAGATCATATCTATGTGTGAATAAGGGAAACAAAAAAGATTAGTTTTTTCATTCGCAGAATTGATGACGCACATAATTAATAATGAGAATATTTTGTGCAATGGAGTATTGATTGAAATGATTCTATTCTGGAAAATTTTTGCAAATTTATGAAGAGATTTTTTTTTCTTCTTCTTCTTCTTTTATATATACGATCATAAGATAGCATCTTTTTTTTGTCTCATGGTAATATTTCCGTCACAAGAGATAGAAGTTTTTTTCCACATGGTGAGTTCTATGTTGTCATGTCAAGATAATTATAAGTATTGAGACTGTTCGATTTAAAATAATCATCAATAAAGTTCATTTTACTTGCATTCAAAAGAAAAGCGATTTATTTGATATAAGAATCAAACGATTTTAATTCCTGAAAATGAAGAGATAAAAGTGTTTTGATTGTAAATTTTCCATCCTTTAAATATTTTGACATAATCGTGAATACATGCGGAAAGATTAATATTTATTCAGTTGTGATTCTATCTATTACAAATTGTTGAATTTCAATTCATATTTAATCAGTTTTTTTTATACATATTTATATAGAATCTATTTATTTTCTTGTATATAGTCAATCTGTACATTGCGCATTAATAACAAAACTTATATAAAACAATTAATTGATATATGAAGATAATGAATCAAACTAATGTTCTTGTATTGAATGCATAAATTTCGATGGTGATCGAGGAAAATTGCGTTCACTTGTAAATGAATCCTATTAAAACAAAATTATTCTTTAAGTTTACTAAAAAATTTTTGTACGGAACATACTTGTCGTGATGGTACGCTTAATCGTTTCATTGAATTGAAATTATTTGAATCTTTTTCACCTAGATGTAACAATGAACTATTTGATGTTAAGATTTTTTTCAAACGATTTTTTGATGATATTGGACTGAATGAAAATGTTCGACTAAGTCGGCTTTTTGCTCGACATAAACCACTAAAAATAGAAAATTAAAATTTTTTTGTCAATGTTAAATAAATAAACTGATTGCGATTAATATGAACAAATAATGCTAATCTTTGTTTGAGATCGAAAATTTATGTTAAGAATATTCAGTGTCAATATTTAAGTTATCTACATCTCAATGTAAACGGCAGGGTTTTATGATAATAATTCTATCGACTATAAAATCCGATTTCAACTCTGAAACATTGCTACACTCGTATTATATTTACCTTCGTAATGCATTTCCAACTGAATTCAATCCACCAGTTGTTGTTGTACTTATAGTTGAATGAGTTGATAATGTATCACTATCAGGCATGAAATCTATTGATGATAGTGGTGCTAATATTCGATTTTCGGAGCCAATATTTTCAAGTAATGATGTCTATTATTTTGAAAAAAGAATATATATGTTATTCTACTATTAAATGATGTATGTAATGTATTACTTTATCGAGTAAACATCGTTCTTCTGCAAGAGCTTTTGCTAAACTTTGTAAAACTTCTGTTTTATTTGTTTGATTTAAACTTGATATAGCTGATAATGATGTGATTGAATCTGTTAAATGTGATCGTGATATTGACATAGGATTATTATCAGCAACACGGAATATTAATTGACGAACTTGACCATCAATTGCACAAAGCATACCGAACTGTTCATATTCTATTAAGAAAAATAAATAAATAAATGGAATATTTAATAAAATATTTTTTTTACCATCATTTGATGATGGATAATCAAATAAACTATGTATATCACTAAGTTGTATTAATGCAACATGTTTATAGGATTTAACAACTGAAGTTTTCCATGTATTAACACGTAATTTTGTTATCTAAGAAAAATAAAAAAAAGGTGTTTATACAAGAATTGATTTATTCGATGAATAAAACATACTTCAATACAATCGGAGAAAAGAAAAAGTATTAAATGTGTTCGTTTTCCAGTTAATTCTTGTGAAAGTTCAATTAGATTAAATTTTTGTAAATAATCACGATGTGCAGCAAGTAATTCAGGCTATAAAATAAAACAAAATTTTTATTTTAATTACATCTAAAATTTCTGTTTTTTATTTCTTACTGGACAATTCTCAATACTATTAACAATACTAAATAATGAAAGATGTTTTTCTGTTTTTCCTCGTTCATCATTTAATTTTTTTGTTACATCACGTAATTTATCAATTGTATGAATTAAAGATTCATAATTTGAATGTGTTTCAGGTATATATTTAAGTAAACGTTCTAAAAGTAATAAAACACTTGGTAAACGTTGAATAGGTCGAATCATTAGATCAACTAAATGTTGTTTGCCTAATTCAGATTTATGTTCACAAATCTAACGAAAAAAAAATTAAAAGTAAACTTTTTTTAATTCAATAAGTGTAGAATACTTTGAGATATGCATAAAAACGAGAATTGCTTTTTTCAAGAGAATGTATTGCTTGAATAGTTTTATCATAAAATTTTGTATATGGTTGATAAACACGTAGAAGTTCAGTAGTCTAAAAATATATTAAATAATGATACTAATAAATTTTTATTTGTAATAGAATAGGGTAGATGGGTATGGGTGCGTGTGAGTGGGTGTGGGTAAGGGTGGATGAGGATGGGTGTGTGTGAGTGGGTGTGGGTGAGGGTGGATGAGGATGGGTGTGGGTAGGTGTGGGTGAGGATGGACGAGGGTGGGTAGGTGACGGCGGGTGTGGGTGTGGGTAAGGGTGTGGGTGAGCGTGGGTGTGGCAACATCTGCAACAAAACCCACTCACACCTACACCCACCCACACTCAGTTTCAAGATGGGTGTTTTTATATCTCTTATGGTTTCTGAAATCTTACATTTGCTAAAAATACTGAACCAATACATTTATCTTCATTAATTGCTCGATCAAGTTGTTCAGCAATAGTTAAATGTAAATGATAAATTTCTTCAATATTTCCAAATATTTGTGTACTTTCAACTTTAGTTAAAATTGGTCCATTACGACGATCATCATTTTCCATTTCAGTTTTAAAAATCTAATTAGAACAAAAAAACTTTTTCAAAATTTAAATCATTTTATAATATTTACTCGTATGATATTTCCTAACATTGTAACATAATTTCTTTCTGTGTCGCGAATTTCCATTCCAATCAAATATTTATTATCTCTTTTAATATTTACAATTTTTAATTGATCATTATCATCATCATCATCATCATCATTATTAAGACCATCTTCATTTTCATTACTATTATTAAAACGTTTAGAATTTGGTGAAACAGTAGTTTCATTATTTGAATCGGAGTCTTTTCGTCGTTTACGTTTAACAGATGTTGCCTGAAGATAATTTGAATCATTTAATGATGTTGATAAAATTAATCGTGGAGATTCGGATGTGGCTTGTTCATTCATACCTGGTATTTTTATTGAATAGATCGATTCATCGGCTTTACCCATTAAACATAAACATTCCCAAAACCACTAAAAACAATATAATATGAATATTGAAATACAGAATAAAATAATAATATTTACTTGAACATTAACAATATATTGGCGATGTTTACGTTTAAATGAAGGATAAGTAGAAAGAAATGTTGAAACATCGGTTCCATTACAAAAGATTATATGTGTAGCATCAGACATTTCTGTTGTAGTAAATCCACCTATATTCAAAAAGAATATTTTAGTTAACGAGAAAATAAAATGAAATGTAATTTTTACCATTATTAAGTGTAAGTGTATGTAATTGATGTTGTTCTGTATCATCAATTGTATCGAAAAAGAATAAACAGAGATTATGTAATGGTTTAGCACGATATTGTCGAAGAAAATCTGTATCAAATGCATTAAATAATCGATTATTTCTTTGTTTCCAACATTCTAATAACCAATCTTCAGTAAGAATTTCACTTTTTTCCATATTAAAAGCCGTCTAAAATAATAATCATTAATTTAATTCAAATTTTTTTTGTATTTAATCAGTTTTTACCAGATATTTTTCACCGAGATTAGCAAATGAGATTACATGTGTTACTTGTTCATTATAATCTTTTCGAACGGATCCACCCAAATAATGAACAATATCACTAAATTTTGCCTAGAAAAATAATCCGTTATTTAACCTTTTAAAAATAATCGATTCTTATTTACATGAATTTCACGCCGAATACTACCAACAAAACAAACAACGGCTGATTCTAATTGTTGAGAGTATAATGGTCGATTTCTTCTCGGTACTGGAATATCCTAAAATATGAAAATTTTTGTTTTTGTTTGTCTTAAAATATAAAATTCATACGTACAATTTTCTTTTCGGCACAAATTAAAACAAGTTCGGAACTAATTATATACATATTGTCATTGTCTTTTAAACTATAAAATGTCTTATCATCAAATGAATCAATAATAAAAATTCGTAATTGTCGTTTCGATAAAGAATGTTTTATATCAGATAATGTTTTAATAATATCTCGTTCATTATTAATACACTCAAAGACATATCGATCATCAAGAGCAGTTAAAAGTTGAGTATTTGAACAAGCAGTACCAATAATACAAAATGTGATACCTAGAAATAGATAAAAATCGTTTGTTTTCTTAATTTGAAATATAATAATAAATATTTACTCCAATCATCATTTGAATGTTGTGGAATATCATCCATGTTAAACGTAACGTAAGATTATTTCAACTCAATAGACAGAACATTCCCGCTTTCTCTTATTCTTACCCACACAAAGAACATGTGTAGCGACCAATAAAATATTTTCTTTTTTCAATAAATTAATAAGAATTAAATTTTAGAAATGTTTCTAATGAATATTTTTATAGATTTTTCTTTTTATTAAAAATTTGAATTTATTATGAATTTCTGATTAGTCAATTTAATCATCCAATGAGATTTATTGAAATTAATATTGTTTGTTTTATTCCAAAGTAACATAGCATGATCTAGCCAAGATTAATTTCTGATATTAAACAGAAAAAGAAAAAAAGTCAGGTCTCGAATTAATAAATATATGCATGAATATATCCGCTATTTCCAGATATATTTATCATGTAATTTACACATGGAAAAATTAGAATTATTCTAGACTTTGACACGAAGAAATCTAATGTTTAAAAAAATAATTATATAAATTCATATATCGTTATAGTATTTCTATTTTCCATGTAAATATTTTGTTAGTTACGACAATATACTTGATCTGAAGACATAACAACATAAATATGTTAATATAACGTTTTTTTAACAAGACCGGAAATGAAATCTATATCCGGAATAAAAATCCATTTGTCGGTTTAATAAAGAATGCTTTTAAAAAAACACATGATCTTTATCAGTTATATTTCGTTCATTCATTTAGATCTATGTCACATCAACTCTGTCAAAACTGTGGTTCTAGTCAATTTGAACATATTGATGGACGCCTTTATTGTGTCATATGTCAATCACAAAATATTTCATTACAAATTCATGTTTCATTTGCCAATGAAGGTAATGCACAACTAGGTCGTCGTGTTCGTGATCAAGCACAAACAACATCAATACATGATGAAACAATACCAAAAATTGAAATATTTGAAGCAAATGAAACAATTTCACACATAAAAAATCAAACAGATGAAACAATTTCACGTTTAAATGACTTATCTGTTGATGATAATGAACAACTATTATTAGAACAACATATTTGGAGTTCTTATGAAGTCTATAGTTATATATTAAATATTCAAATACAATCAATAATTAATTTAGATTATATAAAAAAAGAAAAACATCAAGAATTTTATGAATGTACATTTATGCTCTATTTACGTTATTTATCATCGAATGGAATATTAGAAACAAATCAACAGCGATTATTAATAAAACAAGAAGAAAGACGATTAAAAACAAATATTCTATCGAAATTAATTTATACAGATCGATATGAACAATTTGCCAAATCAAATACACATATTTTTAATAAAAAATTATGTATTATGAATTTAGATATTCTTATTGGTTTGATTCATTGGTAAGAAAGAAATTTGTGTGATTATTCATCTCATACTTAAATGAATAAATACACAGCTTAGATCGAGATGATTTTAATCGCGTGTTATGTTTTAGAATTCTTCAGATCTTTTGAATGTATAGAAAAGACACGGTATGAGAGGATTATATCAGTGGCGGGTCTAGGATTTTAGAAGGGGGGGGGGGGGGATACCTGGGGAGGGGGCGGTTTTGGCTGAAACCTATTTTTTGAGTCCAATCGAAGTAGTGTAAGCCTATTTTTGCTGTAAAAAATCAAAAAAAATTTCTGAATGGAGGGAGGGCGATCGCCTCCTAAATCCGCCACTGGATTATATTATATTCTAATTACTTATTTTTCGAGTCTGAGAAAAACAGTGGCGGCGCCAAGAGTGGGCTGGAGTGGGATCAACCCACCCTGAAGTTTTTTTTAGATCTTATATATATAATGCTGAGCCCATCCTGGCCTAAATTCCTAGCGCCGCCGCTAGAGAAAAAGTCCGTTGAAAACTGAAATGTTTACAGGAAGTTGAATAAAGCATAGAATGAAATTAATTTCCTTTAAAAAATTCAAATGAAAGTCAGGCATGGCATCCTGATGTGTGAGAGAGAAGACATGCAACCGTTGACCCGAAATCTTTTTTTGCTATTTTTTACATTCATGACTTTATTTTTCTTCTTCTTATTACTAGTGCATCGACATTGATTAATTGTCCGATAACAATTAAACAATTAATTGAATGGATAAATACAAGTAAACTTCCGTATTATAATATAAAAACATATTTACCAAATTGGATGCGACCAACAGGACGTGATAGATTTAATATTGAAAAATTTAAAATTCATTCCGGAAATTTATTTTTTTATTATAATACATTTATTCAACCAGTCATAAAACCATATATATCACGATATATATTTCGATCATCATCTTATTTCTATGAAATTCTTCTTAATTGCTGTGAAATTTATTGTAAACAACTTTATTTTCCATTTGATCATCATACAAAAATATTATTTCAATCTATATGTACAATAATTATTCGTACAAAATCAAGAGGTCGACGTTTTCTTTCTACATCATTTGATATGGAATTAACTGCACTTTCAATTCTGATAATAATCATATTACTTCAATCGATAAATGATCGTTTACTTGATGAATTTATTCAAAATATACATCAGACAAAATTCTTTTCCTATTCATTATGGTTAAAAAATTTAAATCAACTAATTTACTATGAATCTATTCGTTATTATCAATTTTATGGACGATCATCCGTTCTATTAGAAACAATAACAGATAATCATTCGAAATTACGATATATGAAAAGTTTATCAAAAATTTTCAATCAAAATATACAAATGAATAATGAGAAGTTTTTAGAAGAAATTTCTCAAAAAGAAAATCATGTTCGACAAATTCTTCTTGATAATTGTAAACCAGGATCATTAGTTTATGCAATGAAAACGAAAGAATTTTTTCTAAAAAAATTTTCAAATTTATCTTCAAGTAAGTCTACATATCACATGAGCTGTCAGTTTATAGATCTTAACAATCGGAGAAAAAACATATTGAATCATCAATGTCTATAAATGCACAAAAGCAATTTTGCAGATGTATTTATGTTTGTTGGGAAAGAAATTTTTGATATGAGAGTAGACGAAGGTCTTTAAATTTGTCCTTCACGGTCATTTTTGTTCTCTTCCATTTCATCACGCATGTCATCGTCTATCGAGACCATTATTAGTCTTGCACACTCAGCTTAATCGTTTTCATGCTAGAAATTCATCAAACCGATTACATCTAGATAAACTTTGCTATATTTATACTAATACTAAAAAATAATAATGTATTATACGTATCTTTTTTTTCTTCTTTATACTGTCTAATGAAATATATAAATGCAAAAATGTTATTTTTCTTTTACTGAAGATTTATATATAAGACATTCAATAATCTTCTTTTGGACGGAAACATTTATCTGGATATTGTCTATAGACTTTATTTAATATAAGTTAATCTTTATTAGACATGTCGACAACATCATCGAAATAGTTTTTATATTTATTTTTTTGCTGAAACATATTGTCGATTTCTATAGAAAAAGATAATAGGATAGGACATTTGCCTAAAGAAATCTATGGTAAATCAACATTATTTATGAAGAGAAATATCATTATTTTTTTGGAGTATTTATTTAATTATCTACAGAAAAAAAGAAAAATGAATTAAACGATTGTTGCTTATAATACTGAATAAGTACTTTTAGTTATTTAGAAGTGAAGTATCTTTTTAAAAAAATACTTCGATTGTTATGAGAGAAATACTTTAGACTTTATTTAACTTTACCTACATTTGAAATAGTTTTTTAATTGTCAGGAAAATTGTTTTTGAAAAGAAACAATATTGACTTAGTTCAGTAAAATCACAATTTCACTAAATAATATTATTATGTGTTAATTTAAAATCGTCTAATCTATTTTCATATTTAGATTGTTTATCATCTTTTTTTGAAACAATTGTTAATACATCTTCACCATCCCATTTTTCAATTGTTGATAAAAGTGAATTATATGAAACACTTCTTTCATTAACTAATGGTGCAACAATAAATCAAATAGAAAATTTTTATTTACTTCATCAACGTTTTGATATTGCTACATCATCAAATTTTCATTTGAATCATCTTATATTGACATTAACAAAATTTTGTTCACTACCTTATAATCAAGATTTTTACTCATTTTTTTCATTATTTTTGAAAACATTTTGTTTTCATGATCAATCTCTTCATCATTATTTTTATCAATCAACATTATCAAAACGTTTTAATTCAAAGAATCTTTCTGATCATATCGGCATGAAACAATATGGAATTGATCAGTTACCTATTATATATGATATTCAATTTGAACAAGAACGACCATCTACAATAATAGAGAAAAAAAAATGAAAAATATATATTATGTTATTTTTTCCTAACAGAAAATAAGTAATTGTTTGTTTTTCTAGTTTTGAATAAGAGAAGAAGAAAAAAAAACTAGATGTCAGATGATCTTATGATCATAGATATCTATCTTTATTGCGTATGTTTACTGTAATGAATTAGCAATCTATTACCATATTGACATCAAACTATGTCTGCAATTTTCTTTTTTTGAAGGAAAGAAACAAACGATCATAACATTCCTTTCATCTGTTATTTGACCTTATATGCTTTCGCTTTTGTCATTTTCTATTTACTATTCGAGATATTCTTATTGAAGAAAAATAGCCATGTCTTTATATCATTGTTGCTATGTTCTTACTGAATTCCTTAATGATGTGTATAGTTGTTGATAGGGTTTATTCTCATGTTGTTTTTTCTTCTTCTTTTTCCTCTTCTATTGCTTGAGGGTTGTTATGTGCCGTCAAGAGACATCATTGCGTACACATTAATGTAAGGAAACGAATGAGTAACATACTGTTTAGTTATTGCATCTATAGCGACCCATAGACAAAAACATCGTCATCTCTATGAACTAGAACTATTCTTTTCTTTCTATTGCAATTCATCGTTAGTGTATTTTGCACTCACAATTTTCCATCTTTCGCAATTTTGTCACATACTTGAGTCGTTATTTAAAGTTTGCTTTTCTTTCTTCTTCTTTTTTTTACAATACTTCATCACGTCGCATATTCATTATTCACATCATAATAGTATCTATTATTGATCTGTGTTTTTCTTTTTATCAAATGATAGTGCAATCGAATTTGGTTATGCACGACAATTCAATATGATTTTTCTTTTTTTTAGATTAAAATTATTTAAAGCTGTGTTCTTAGTGAACAGTAACGGATCATTTTGTTAATATTCGATGACTACAACTGTTGACGGTGAATATACACCGAAGCAAACGGTAAATTATTGAAATCTTTTTTTGTAATATAAAATTATAAGTTTTTTTGTGTTTTGGTTATTAGAGCGAATACGTGTACAACTGCACGGTCTCGGGCGAATATTGCCGAGCGCAACACTGACTAGTACGGCATTTTAATACATATAATTATATTCGATATTATCCATATCGATATTGTTCAAAGAATTTTGATTGGTGTCTTATATCAACAAAACTTAGAGATTAAATAAAATTCGATTTTGTTTTACCAAAAACTTTTTTACATTATGCCAATGGCACAAGATTTAACTTATTCATCAGTAACAGAACTTCGTTATAAAAATCTTCGTTTTCTTATTACTGATAGTCCAGACGATGAAAATATTCAATCATTTACTGAAGTATAAATTCTAATAATATCTATTTTTCTATTAAAATATGTTTTTAGACTTGTTTAAAATATGGTGTTACAGCAACTGTTCGAGTATCAGAAAAAACTTATGATACAAAACCAATAGAAACTGCCGGCATTAAAGTTTATGTATGTTTTATTAAATTAACATTAAATGTATATATGTTGCTTTATTCTAGAATCTTGAATATCCTGATGGAAGTGCACCAGATTCACTTGTTCGTGAAAAATGGTTGAATATAGTTAAAGAAAATAAAAATGGTTGTATTGCTGTACATTGTATACATGGCCTTGGACGGTTAGTTGATTTTGATCAAGGTTGTCTTTTATTCTTTTCTATAATGATAGATCACCTGTACTTGTTGCAATGGCCTTGCGTGAAGCAGGAATGAATCGACAAGAATCAATTGATTTTGTTCGTGCACGTCGTCGCGGTTCGTTTAATGTGCGACAACTTGAATTTCTTCAGAATTATCATTCAGGTCATCGTCTAACCGATAAACATGTCGGTTGTCTTATTATGTAATTTTGTTGCTCCCTTCTCACTTCTTTTTTGTTCTTATATTTTCTTTGCCTTATTTCAGCTTTCGTTTATTTTCTGTCAATTTTGATTAGGAACCTTATTTAACTAATCTCAGTCGACATTAGTTACAACTTCTTTTTTTTTTTGTTGCATTGACTTTGTGGCACATTTGGAATAATTAATAATCTATTTAAATAAAAAGTATTTAACTAAATGAAAAACTCTTACATAATATATTGTTTCACTAACTTTGTAAGACAAAAAGCAAAAAGGATGTGCATGTCATTGCATGATTCAAATAAGGACTCTTGACGTCATATATAGATGACAGAAATCTGAGAAAATAATTGACCTACTGGTGAACGATGTCATGATGATCCCGTTAAATATAGACGACACTGATTTACATTCATTTGTTCAAGACATGTTCCCGTTAATAATAGCAATGAGTTCATGTTTCACATTGTTATTTTCTAAGGACTAATTCAACAATGTTTTCTTCGACTATTCCACTAAAATCTTAAATGTATAGTTTTATAATAGAAATACTTTCTCAATCTATGCTAATTTTCGAAAATAATTGTAATAATAGATAGTCACAAACACGTTCATAGGGGTCATATGTGCATATTCCTACAAAAGATTTAACGATGAAATTATTGAAGTTATATACAGGAAATTTTTTTCTTAACATATAATCCCAAGTTTTCTTTATTTTTTTTAATAATAAAAAAATGACAATGAATTATTAGTATAGATGATGCAAGTAATACAATTTCGGAAACAGATGTTAATAAACCGTATTAAAATAGTGCGTTTAATTTTATATCAAATAAATAAGAAAATTATTTATGCATTAATAGTGTTATAATAAATTATAGAGAACATTGTTTCTTCAGAGTAGCTATTTATATAACTATATATTTGTCATATGAATGCCAAAATATTTGGAGTATGATAAGAATATAAATAGTTCTTTATATTTATTTTGTATTAAGCTTTAGCTTGACTTAAAATCAATATTTATTCTTAAAGTAAAGGTAAATAAAATTAGATATTTTTTACGAGAACTTTCTTAAACACGATATTATTGTAAAATCATTCTAAACAATTAATTGCCATAATAAAAAAAAACAGTATATATAAGTAAGTTTAGAATTGATTTGTTCGTTATCAAACATTTTTGTTAAACTAAATATAGAAGATCATCATTATTAAGATTGCCTGAGAAATATATTGAGTATGCTAATCACTAATATAAATAAGCAGAAAGTGTATTTTTGAGGGCAATTGTTATATTTAGATACCGAAAATAACTTTCATAAATATCTTACTAGAATAATCTAGGTCTAAATACAAAAATTCTATATCCTATAGATTTTTATAGAAGTAAATCTTACTCAGAAGAGACAACCACCTCATATTACAAGGCCATATCGAAACAAAACATTATCCAGTGTATTAGAAACTATATCGTAATTTGATAAAATATTTTATTATTCGAAAATATACTTTCGTAATTAGTCAGATATTATTATTTCTTTTTTTTTCCCTAAGAATTCGATTATATATTTTGAAAAAATCGAAGAGATTATCCTTGTAGAAGAGAAAATAAAATTGTTTTCTCACATTTATCATCAAAACAAATCAACAGTATTCTTCAATTTCCACTCCTGTGGAGAATCAAGCCAATGCGTATTTTTTCTAGGAAAAAAAAATTTCCAATTTCTATGATTTGTTTATGTAAAGATATATGGAAAATACGCGATACTACAAACATTCTGGCCGCACGCATTAAATGGTATTTATTTGTTGTACCAGGTGTTTATCTTCTGTCATTCTGATCATCGATCTCTTCATCGTTTCGAATCTTTCTTTCCGTATATCAATAGATTCATACAGTCTAATAATCTCTTAACAATAATAAAAAACAAAATATTCAATTGACCGTATACAGATGATACACAACAAAGTCTGTTAATCTAATTAATCGATCGATAGAGAAATTGATTTGAAAGAAATTTAGAAGTTCTTTTTATCTGACAATGTCAATTTTGATGTTATATATCGTACTCTAATAAGTTGTTAATAGAAATGTGTGCATATGCATCTTGTTGGCATTTCTGATTATCAGTCGGAAACACAAGTAACAGACAAATAATCAACAATAAAGATAATTTATGTTATCGATATAAATGGTTAAAAGGTTTTTTCTCTAGTAGTTAATAATAGTTAGTGTATTCGTTGAAAAACATTGATAAGATTAAACATAACAAATACTGTCACTATATTCTGATCGCTGTTTAAATATATAGACACATAAATGATGGACGATGATGATGTCAGTTTTGTTAATTCTTTACATGGTTCCTCTCGTTTTTTTGTGTGTGTGTATGATTTGGCCTTCTTGTCAATAGTCAGACATATATCCATCAGTTGTACAAAAGATCTATTTCTTTTTTTCTCTCATTTAGATGAAGAGAGACGAAATAATAAGGCAAACTGGTTACATAATTAGAATCATATTTCTCTGTCATTGTCTATTTATTCTATATGTTAGGTACAATTCTTTTATGATGAAATATTGTTTGAATTAATCATCAGAGATAATTTGTTCTCTGTCGAAAGTTCGTGTCTAACTTACTATTGAGAAACGAGTCATAAATAATAATAATAATAATAATCGATTTTTAGTAAAAAATGTTCAGTCCAATTGATTCATAAACACTGATTTATGATAATGTTTTCTTTATTTCTTCTTCTTCTTCTTTTTCTTCTTTTTCTTCTTTTTTTTTGGTAAAAGACAAAAAGTCTTAGTGTCGATTTTGATGATGATGTTATTATACAATGAAAGCGTAAGCTGACATCGTATGTTTGTATGGTGTTCTTTCGTCTGTGTATCGTCGATAATCTAAACGTATTAGTGATAACACAAGCAGGCTAAAGGAGAGTTGAATATCATCTTGTCGTTTTCTATTGCATAGTTTTGTCCTTGACGCCTTTTTGCTTGTCAATCAGTTGGCGACATATCCACGATATTATTAGATTGATGAAATATAGTAGCAAGATATATACAAGTGAGAATTTTATGTTTTATTTCATTATAGATCTAAGCGCGATCATAGTGATGATGGTGGTGATAATGATGATATAGATAACAATTGATTGATAACATGGCTGATGAACAAATGATGGGGGCTGAGGCTGAAGATGTTCAGTTTATGCGAACAGTAATATAATCTTATTATAAATAAATCATTTTTTCAAAATAAACTATTTTTTATTATTAGGAAGATCATATATGCCTTAGTTGTGTGCCTGTTTCAAGTCTTAAACGTATGGCACTATCAGGTGAAGCATTCGGAAATCGAATGTGTTATCTTGAGGACATATCAAATGAAGTAAAGAATTATTTTCTTCGTATTACAATAAAAAAAGAAAGATTTCATATATTTTTGAAAAGGTTTGCTGTCCTGATCTCGCATCATGTGTATTTGTACTTGAACAAACTGTATCAGTACGAGCTTTACAAGAAATGGTTAATACAACATCAGCCGAACAGGTAATTATTTGAAAATATTCAATAAAAAATAGTTTTGTTCTTTCAGTTATCAACAAATCAAGGTGGACAAACATTTCGAACATTACTATATGGCCACGCAGTTCTTCTTCGACATTATCGAAGTCAAATGGTATAAATTCTAAATAGATTTTTTATTTTTGCAAAAATAAAATATATCATTTTAGTATTTAAGCTGTTTATCGACAAGTACCTCTAATGATAAATTGGCTTTTGATGTCGGTTTGAAAGAAGATGCAGTAGGTGAATCATGCTGGTGGACAATTCATCCAGCATCAAAACAACGAAGTGAAGGCGAAAAAGTTCGATTTAATGATGATGTTATATTAGTTTCAGTTTTTTCTGAACGTTATCTTGTATGAAAATTGTCATTTTGAAAAATATTAATTATAATTTGTTTATTTTCAAGCATGCATATATGTCAATAAATGAACGTGGACGAGTCAATGCATCATTTCGTCAACAAGTCTGGAACCTTGTACCAATATCCAGTGGTATAGCACGAGTAAAAAATCCAGGTTTGATAGATATTATTAAGTGAATTAACAATAAACGATCTTTCTATGATAATTAAGGATTTGTCCTTGGTGGTGATGTTTTACGATTAATGCATGGCAATATGGATCATTGTATAACAACACCACCATCAGATCCTTCAGTGAGCGATGATTCTGGAAGGTAAATAATAAATATTTTTTATTTAAAAAAAAAATAACGAAATTTTTTTTTTATTCGATTTATTTTAGTTTATTTATCAAAGGTGGTGCTGCTTGTTATCAAGCTCGATCATTATGGCGTATTGAATATTTTAAAACAAAGTATGAAGATTAAATATTTCGTATGAATTTATATGTTAATATTATTTTGTATTTCTTAGATGGTACAGTGGTTTTGTCGGGTGGAATTCCTTGATTCGTCTGCGACATGTAACATCTGGTCTTTATTTAGCAGTGATTGGTGATGAGAATGGTAAAAGAGAATAATATAAGTGTTAAAAAATTTTATCGAAATAAATCTTAGGACCAAATGTAACTTGTATATCAAAGAAGAATGCAAATCCTATTGCAATTACATTTGAAATGAAATTATCAAAAGTAAATAATTAAAATAAAAATATGTAAATCTAATTTGTTTTAATTTAGGAAAAACAAATCGAAGGAAATCAAGAAGAAGAAGAAGATAATTTAGGTGTACCGACAATAAAATATGGTGAAACAATTGTTTTTATACGTCATGTTGATTCTGATCTATGGATTAGTTATGAAACACTTGAATTAACTATAAAAGGAATTGGAAAAGTTGAAGAAAAACGAGTAAGAAAAATCAAATTTATAAATATTAACGTTTTTTGTCTTCTTTTTCAATAGATTATTCCAGCTGTTGAAGGTCATATGGATGATTGTTTTCGACTTGTACGCGCACAAGAACAAGAACAAAAAACTGCATTAGTTATTCGAATATGTAATGCTATTCTTGGACGATTCAATCGAACTGAGTATGAACTATTAGAAGAGAAGACGAGAAAAAAAACATATTCTTTCTATTTTAAAGTTCTATGTCAATTGATTCCGAAACAATAAATCATTTATTAAGTAAAAGTGATGTTATTCAAGCACTTTTATATGATTTAATTGGATTTTTTTCTCAACCATCATCATCACTTGATCACGAAGAAAAACAAATACGTCTTAAACTATTAAAAAATCGACAAGATCTATTTCAAGAAGAAGTATAAAATAGAATTTTTATATATTTTTGATTATATTTTCTTCGTCTTCTTAGGGCATGATTCGAATATTAATTTCATCGATAAATTTTTTTAGTGAACGTAGAGATAAATCTACACTTTTAGAAGGCGTTGAAGAAAAAATTGAAGATATTACAAATAAACTTTATGTAGTTTTAGCTGCATTAATTAAAGGTAATCGAGCTAATTGCTCAAATTTTGCACAAAATGCTCGTCTTAATTGGCTTGTTAATCGTTTACAATCTCAACAAGCATCAAGTGGAGTATTAGAAGTACTTCATAGTGTCCTTGTTGATAGTCCCGAAGTTTTAAATATGATTACGGAATCACATATACTTGCGAGTAAGTTTAAAATAGAAAATATATGAAAATAAATTTTTATTATTTTTTTATTTTAGTTATTGGATTACTTGATAGAAATGGTCGTGATCCAAAAGTACTCGATGTTCTCTGTTCTCTTTGTGTTAATAATGGTGTCGCTGTTCGTGCTAATCAAAATCTTATTTGTGAAAATATTTTACAACGATCTGATCTTCTTTTACAAACGGCATTAGTTGATCATGTCACTTGGTAAGAGAGTTTTTGTTAATTGAATTGTACAAAAAGAGAAATGATTAACCTTTTAAAAACAATAGAGTTTATGTAAATATCTGGTTTATCTACTATTGTATTCTAAAGTAATTATTTTCCTAGTGTAAAATCGATTAGAAATCACGAAGAAATAATATTGGTTATAATTGATGGATAATAGGATTTAAGATATGTATACGTTTACGCTCTATTTCTTATTACATAGATTCAATGACCTTTGTTTGAAGCAGCTAATGACATTTTTTTACATGATAACGCATAGAAGGGTCAATACGAGATCAAAGAATAAAATGTAATAATAGGAATTCATTAAAATGTTTTACATCCTGTTGACGTCAAATTTAAGTAGCGATAAATATGCCGAAAATGATAATTAATAACGAGACTTTCGAAAGACGATGTTCCGGAATGTTTCTTTTCCGATAATGTGTAAGACGTTATGTAAAAGAATGCATAACCTATTGTCTGTGCGTTTTTGATCTAAATACCAAGACTTTAGATCTGTAATTTACGATATAATGCAAATAATTTTGTAATTACATTTCAATGATAATTGAGAGTGTGCAAATTATAAGAGATTTTAAAAGGATTTCATTTAATATATTTTCAGTATGCGTCCAAATATTGTCGTAGGTGTTGAAGATGGTGAATCAATGTATAGAAAATGGTATTTTGAAGTTATTATCGATTATATAGAACAAGTAACTCATGTTCAACCACATATTCGTATTGGTTGGGCAACAACACATTTTCAACCATCGCCTGGTCATGGGGATGGTTTTTCGTCGAATGGTGTTGGTGATAATACCTATTCATATGGTTTTGATGGTCAAAATATTTGGTTTGCCGGAAGACCATTTAATGTATCAAATGATAATACAAAACAAATTGGTTTAAAGAAAAATGATATTATTGGATGTTTATTAGATTTAAATACACCAGAAATGTGGTTTTCATTAAATGGTGTACCTGTTAAAGGTCTTTTACGTGGATTTGATTTAACTGGAATGTTTTATCCAGCTATATCATTATCATCTCGTGTTAGTTGTCGATTTTTGTTAGGTGGTAAACATGGTCGTTTTATGTATCGACCACCGGAACATGCTGCACCATTTTATGAAGCTATGTTATTAAAACAACGAGTTTGTATTGAACCATGTTTTTCATTTGGTAATATAGAACGAAATCGTCTTGATGGTCCAACACAGATTCAACATAATATTGCATTTACACCACAACCAATACGAACAAGTCATATTAATTTACCTTTACAACTTCAAAAAATCTGTGACCAATTAGCTGAAAATATTCATGAGTTATGGGCTATGAGTAAAATTGCTAATGGGTGGAAATTTGGTGAAGTAAGATATTTAATGATTTACAAAAAAAAATACGAAGAATGAATTTTTTTTCTTTTTTTTAAAGCAACGAGATGATGTAGGAAAAAAACATCCATCTGTAACATATTTTGAAGAACTTCCACTAAATGAAAAACAACATGATCTAACAACTGCAACAGAAAATTTAAAGAGTCTATTAGCATTTGGTTATCATATTAGTTATGATGATAAAATTGATGATCGACGTATGAAATATATTAAATTACCAAATACATATACACAATCAAATGGTTATAAACCTCAACCATTAGATTTATCACATATTGGTTTATCTACAAAAATGGATACATTAGTGGAAATATTAGCAGAAAATACACATAATGTTTGGGCACAAGCAAGAATTAAAGATGGTTTTACTTATGGTGTATCTGATGTAAGTAAAAATTTAACAGACTAGAGTCTTCACAGTTTATACACTAAAACCTCACTAATGTGGAGTAGCTGCCTAATTCGAGTTCGAATATAAACGGATATTAAAGAAAGAAAAACGAATACCTATGTCCAGGAATAGATTTAGTGTCAGAATTATTTTCGAATTCGAATTAGATAGCTCCTCAAAACATATGACAGAAAGTAGAAAGAGGTCAAAAAAACATTGTATATATGTTCACATTGGAGAGGTGGCAATACTAAACGGAATCGAAAAAAAGCGTTCACAGTTCAGAATAAAGATATGCATTTCCAGCAAAAATCTCTCCGTCGAACCTGAGGCCGTTCATAAAACAGAGGATTTTACTATCGACAGGTTTTACTGTAGTTCAGTTCTTACTATTCTTCTTAATTATAGAATCCTCGACAAAAACGAAGTCCTTATTTATTACCATATTCAATTATTGATGATAGTATTAGAAAAATAAATCGAGATACAGCAAGTGAAACTGTTAAAACGCTTCTTGCTTATGGTTATATAATTGAAACACCAACAAGTGATGTTGAAGATTATAATCGACGAAATAAAAATGTTATAACACATGAACGTATGTCAACTTATCGAACATATCGTGCCGAGCAAACATTTGCTGTAGCACGTGGTAAATGGTATTATGAAGTTGAAATATTAACACCAGGTCGTATGTTAATTGGATGGGGACATGCATCTCAACTAGATGCATTTTATCCACTTGGTACTGATTCATATGGATATGCATTTGATGGTTTAAATGCACGACGTGTTAATCATAATGTCTCTGATGGTTTTGGTAAATCATGGTCAAAAAATGATGTTGTCGGGTGTATGATTGATTTACATGATAAAACAGTTAGTTTTTCATTAAATGGTGAATTAATGTTAGATAATTATGGTAATGAAATAGCATTTGATCAACTTGATATTGATGATATTGGTTATGTACCTGCATTAACATCATTTAGTGGACAAAAAGCTCGATTAAATTTTGGACAAGATGTTAATACATTAAAATATTTTACATCATGTGGTTTACAAGAAGGATATGAACCATTTTGTGTGTAAGTTTTAAAACATAAAATAATAGAACTACTTATTTATTCTTCGATTTTTAGAAATATGTCAAGAAATTTAACATTTTGGTATTCAAATTTTATTCCTAATTTTCAACCAATAAAATCTGATTCATCATCTTTTAATATTATTCGAATTGGTGCAAGGTATGTACATATTTCAACTATAAATAAAAGAAAATTCTTCTATATAGTCGTGATAATCCACCATTAATAAAACTTGAATCTCGATTATTTGGAACATTAGAAAAAGTTGAATTTGAATTTCTTCGATTATCACTACCGATAACTTGTCATGATAAATTTGTTCCAAAGTAATTTTAAAATTTCTTTGTTTGTTCTTTTTTGTATCATCTATTGAATTCATAGACATATTACACTCGAACGACGTCAGATAGCATTAAATGAACATCTTGAAAGTCAAAGTGAAAAAAATAATTTCTTATTTCCATCAAAATCTGCTTCACCAGCACCATTAATTCTCAATGAACAAATGGGATCTCCAATAATAAATAAATCAACACGTGATCCAACAAATTTACTTGTTAAATTTCGTGATCAATCATCAACAAAAAAAAGTCCATCACCTTTACTTGGTGAAAATAAATCCAATAGAAGATTATCAGCTAGTAAATTAAATAATATTTTTCAATATTTTTTAAAAGAACAACAACAACCCATAAAAAAACGTATGATAAAATCAAATATCAATGGAATGAATTCACCAAATTTAAGTCAACCACGACAATCACAAACTTTATTAAAATCTCCAAGAAAATCAGTATATAATATAAATACAAGAAAATCAGTTATTGAAGTTGAAGGTGAGTATAACGATCAACAAGCAAATGATTATGAAACTGATGATATACGTATTATTAATGAATATGTTCATGAATATTATTTTGGAATAAGAATATTACCTGGACAAAATCCACGTTCAGTATTTGTTGGATGGACAACATCAAGATTTAAACCTATTCATAGACAAAATGATACATCAGTTAATAAATTATCGAAATTTATTCGGCGTTGTACATTAACACGAATAGGACATGATGGATTAATAATTGAAAGTATTCAAAGACAAGATGCGTATATGTTTTGTGCAAATGATTTATTAGATAATATGACAGATAAAGAAAATGTTGCAAGACGTGGTGCTAATGGATTATTAATTGGATGTGTATGTGATGTCTCGACTGGACAATTAAGTTTTTATGTTAATGGAAAAGAATCAACTCAAAAACTTCAAGTATACATTTAAGAATTTTTTTATTCAATTGTGAAATATAACTATTTTAAAAGTCTAGATTAGGTGTATCTGAAGTTCAGTGGTGGATCTGCGATTTTGAAAGGGGGTGGGGCGATTTTGGCTAAATCTATTTTTTGAGTACAATCGAAGTGGTGTGAACCTATTTTTTCGTTCATTTTTGTTGTGAAACATCAAAAAAAATTCGGAAGGAGGGGGTGCGATCACCTCCATTACCCCCCCCCCCCTAAATCCGCCACTGCTGAAGCTAGAGGGATAAATATCATTGGGAAGCAACATTTATGACTCTATACTGTATTTTTTATAATTCAATCACAGTGCTTCGTTCAGGATCTTACCTATGAGGAGTCAAGCGCAGAAATTGTCAATCTCAGGAGGACAAATACAGTCTTTGGAGGTGCAAAATACTCCATGCTCTTCCCTCCACTAGATAAAACACTAAATTTTGATTTTTGTTACAGGTTGAACCAAATACGAAACTCTATCCAGCTGTATTTGTTGAACCAACAGTTAAAGAAGTATTACAATTTGAATTAGGACGTATCAAAGTAAGAATATATCACTAAAACTGTATGGTATAATTGTTATTGTTTTATAGAATTGTTTACCATTAGCAGCTGGTCTATTTCCAAGTTTAAATCGTGAAGAACGTTATATTCCTCAATTACCATCTCGTTTACATTTGCAATCTCTTGTTCATTGTCATTGGTCACGTGTATCAAATACGAATGTTCGTTGTCAACAATTGAAATTATCTGATATTCGTGGATGGAGTGTATTTGTTGAAGATCCTGGTAAGATTATTTTTATTTTCTTCTATTGATAAATGTGTCTTATTATAGTTCAAATGGAAGCAGTTTATATTCCTGAAGAAGATCGATGTACAGATATCTTAAGTTTAGTAGAAGATGAAGAGAATTTAAAGTATTCATTTTTTTTATTCTTCATTAAAGAGTTTCTTTTTAAAATAATTTCTTATAGTTTTTGTTCAAATACATTAAGACTTTATAATGCTATATGTGCTCAAGGTAATAATCGTGTTTCACATGAAATATGTAAACTTGTTGATGAAAAACAATTAATGTATTGTGTAAAAAATACTTGTAAGTTTAATATTTTTTATTTCATATAAATTTTATATTGTTTAATTAGATTTATGTGGACTAATTCGAATTGGTATTCATAATTTACTTATTGCTTTACATTTTGAACCACATATCAAAGCAAGGTAATTAGAAACGAATGTATAATTCATCTTTACGAAATATTGTTTTTGTTATTACATTTGTAGAAGTTTAACTTCAACAGAATTTATTATTCCATTATCAAATTCACTTCGAAAAAATATTTTATTACGTTCACATAATTCAATGGAACAAAAACAGAGACTTGCAACAACAACATATATACCAGCTATGGGACAGTTTTTAACTGTACGACCCAAACTGATCAAAGAAGAAGAGTATGTTAATTAGATATGTAAAAGATCGCTTTTGATTTCATTATTAAAACTCATTCGTAGGTGCGTAACCTACCGAGGGCTAAGGAGGAAGCTGAGCCGCTCTAACAATGACTTATCTTTGCTTAAAAATCGTTCCACACCCACACCCTCAAGATGAGAGAAATGACTACCCGTTCAAGAAATGTAGCATCATCTTTTTAAATTATGCCAAGTTCTATTTGTAATACTTATCTTTATCATTTTAGTTTTAAACTTGATCGTGAACGAAAATTACTGGTTCCACCTCCATTTAATGTCATCAATCTCAAAGAATATATTATGAATTCATTAACAGATGCTGTTGAAAAAAGTTCTCGTACACTTCGGGATCCTGCTGGTGGAACATATGCAAATTGGCTTGTGTAAATATTTCCATTAATACTTTTTCTATTCTTAAAATTGAATTATTCTTTATCTTACAGACCAATACTTCAATTAGTTGATGCTCTTCTTGTTATGGGTTCACTTGGTAACAAAATTCTATATATATAATTAATCAAAATATATTCTTTCTTTTGTTTTTTAGAAGTCGATGATATTCAACTATTATTATATTTAATTGATCCAGTAACATTTAGTTTAAAAATTGATAAACATTTTCATGAAGGTTTACTTCAAATGAAATTAGATGAGCCAGTTAAACTTCAAATATGTTATATTTTACAACATTTATGTCGATATCAATTACAATATCGTATTGAAGGTATAATTGCATTTTCAGAAGAATTTGTTGCAAGATTACAAAGTGTAAGTTTAAAATTACTTTAATTAAATTATACATAATATATCAATTTAGGATCAAAAACGACGATATCGATTTTTGAAAGAATCAAATTTACCACCAGCATTGATGGCAAAGAAAACTCGAGAATTTCGTTGTCCACCTAAAGATCAAGTAAATCAATAAAATATTATTTGTTTTTTTTTCTTTCAAAGAAAATCTTTCTAGATGCATGCATTAATGAATTTTAAAACTGAAGCAAATGATTCAATTATTAGTAGTGATGCTATACAAGAAGAAATAAAAGACATGTTGAAAAATTTTCATTCAAATTTACTTATTTTACAACAAGCTATTGAGGTTTGAAAGAAAGATAAAAAAAGAGTTCGATTTATTCATGTTTATTTTGCAAAATAGATAAATGATATATTTGATCAAAAATCTCATATAAATCAAATGAATCCAATTGAACAAATTTCATTATTTTCACGTTTATTAGAAACTATTATACGATATACTTTAAAAAAGAAACACGAAGAAAACGAAATACCTGATAAACATATTGTAGATAAATCAGAAAGTAAGTTAAATAAAATATTATGTTAATGAAATATATTTCGTTTCTTTTTTCGAAGAAAATTTATCGGAAGTAATTAAATCAACAATTATTAGATGGAGTCGAGCAACACATATTAGTGATCCAGATCTAATTCGAGAAATGTTCAAACTAATTTACAATCAATATGATGGACTTGGAGAAGTAAATATCATTAAAAATAAAGAACTTAGTGTATAGGGATAGATTTCTGTTAGAGATACAGGGTGTGGGTGTGGGTATGGATGCTAAGTGAATATAGTATTCATATCCACGCCCACCCACACCCATCTCAGGAAAAAAGCTGAATTTAGAATGTGGATAGATCGATACTTGAAATCGATGATGAAACTTTCTCTTTTTTTTCTCTAATCAGATTTCTCGATGTCTCGAACGAACTTATATAATAAATGAAAAATCAATTCCTGATGTATCCATATTATTACGTAAATTCAGTATTGTACGTGCTCTTTTAACTGTGCAAATGGATGCAGATGAAGAGGAAATAATGATATCATGTTTAAAGTAATTTGAAATTATTCTTAGAATTAAAAAAAAAGAGATAATCTATTTGTTCAGTGATATTATGGATAATCGTGTATTTTATCAACATCCTGATTTAATGCGTACACTTTGTGTACATGAAACAGTAATGGCTATAATGGTTAATCGTTTAAATAAAAGTAAACAAGAACAAACATCAATGTCATCAGCAAATGATGTGGAAGGTCTTGCACAATCAAATGAAAATGGTGAAATTCAAGAAAATCATCCTCCTAAAGTAACATGACAAAAAAACAAGAGAAATTAGATTTTTATTTCTCTTTAGGAAGATAAAGTACTACTTGTAACAACATGTTGTAAATTTTTATCTTATTTTTGTCGTACATCACGTCTTAATCAACGTGCTATGTTTGAACATTTAAGTTATCTATTAGAAAATAGTTCAATGTTACTCTGTATGAAAATCGAAAGTTTTTTGTTTTTCCTATAATAAATTCTTTGAAATTTTAGCTCGTCCATCACTTCGTGGTTCAGCACCATTAGATGTAGCTAGTGCTAGTGTAATGGATAATAATGAATTAGCATTGGCATTACGTGAATCACATTTAGAAAAAATTGCATCATATTTATCACGTTGTGGTACAACAAGAAACGAAGAATTATTTCTTCAAGGTTATCATGATATTGGCTGGGATCCAGTCGATGGTGAAAGGTTTATTCATTTATATTTAAAAAATTCTCGTATTTTATGTTTTTATCTATTTTAGATTTCTTGATTTTCTTAAATTTTGTGTTTGGGTTAATGGTAAAATAATTTCGAAAAACAAAATAATTTTCATTCTAATCTATGATTTTCATTTAGGCGATACAGTCGAAGAAAATGCAGATTTAGTTGTACGTCTGCTTATTCGTCGTCCCGATTGTTTAGGTCCAGCATTGAGAGGTGAAGGTGGAGGTTTACTTCGTGCTATACGAGAAGGTATTGCACAATCACTTTATATTGCTCGACGACAAAATCCTGATGATCCTATTATACAAGCTGCATATCAAGAAATAATTGATGATGAAACTATGCATAATCTAAACGAAGAATAGTAATATTATAAAGACTATAGAGCACTAACATATTGTTCATTTTGTATTTATTAGTGATCGTCTACAAGTTCGTTTGCCGTTCGATGACGATGAAGAATATATTGATTTAGGTGCAGCTGAATTATCATTTTATGCTATTTTGGTTGAATTATTAGGTCGATGTGCACCATCAGAAGAAACAATTAAAATGGGAAAACCAAGTGCCATTCGAGCAAAATCAATTCTTAAAAGTCTTGTTTCAATGCATGATCTTGAAGGTGTTCTTGGTTTAAAATTTATTTTACCATGTAAATTAAAATATTTTTATATGAAAAAAAAACCTAATTTATAATTTTTTTTCTCCGTTATAGATCAAAGTTTAATGCCACCAGGTTTATTACCATCACATAAAATGTCAACATTACTTTTTCTTGAACGTGTTTATGGTATACCTGATCAAGAAACATTTTTTCATCTTATCGAAGAAGCATTTATTCCTGACATTCGTTCAGCTACAATTCTTGAAATGGTTAAATATTTTATTTTATAGTTTTTAAATATCAATAGATTTTTATTCTCATAGGGATCCGTAGTTGATAGTGATATGGCATTAGCATTAAATCGTTATTTATGTACTCGTGTAATACCATTAATGAAATCACATTCACATTATTTTGAAGATTGTGATCATCGTTCATCACTTCTTCAATCAATATTAAATATAGTTTATCGTTTATCAAAATGCCGTTCATTAACGAAAAGTCAACTTGATGTTATTTGTGATTTTTTACTTGCTTTTGCTAGGTATTATTTTGCGAAACAAAGCAAAGACATGTTTAAATAATTATTCTTATTTAATTTAGTCTATTAAAACCATCTATGATGACACCATTATTGAGAAAATTAGTTCATGATGTTCCAGCATTGACTGATCAAACGATTGTACCTTTAAGAGTATGATAAATCAGATTTAAGTTAATACATTTGTTTTTATTGTTGTTATTTGCGTTTAGATGCTTACACAATGGTATGAACGATGTAGTCGTTATTATACAGTTGCTGCTACAGAAGAAGAAAAACGTTTAACTATGATGCTATTTCAAAAGATCTTTGATTCACTTGCATCACGGGTATGAAGATAGAATGATATTTAATTATTTTTAGGGTCTCATGTGTTTATTGTAGGCATATGATCCTGAATTATTCGGTAGAGCACTTCCATGTTTGACTGGTATGTATAGTATATTTAAGATTAAAAAAATTGAATTATTTTCTTGTTTCGAAAAGCAATTGGTAGTGCGTTATCACCAGATTATTCTTATTCATTTACTCAACAAGATTATATCGATCATGAAAGAGAAAAAATTGAAATGTCTAGTCATTATGAACCAAATCCAATTGATACATCGGAGTTAGTTAGTCAGATTTTCGAGAAAAATATTAATATTTATGTATATCATTTTAGCATTGCATTAAGTCCAATGTTAGAAGAATTTGTTATAGCTTATGCGGAAAATATTCATGATCAATGGGCTTATACTAAAGTAATGCGACATAAAGAAAGTTTTAAAACTCAATATAATTTTTATTTAGATTGAACAAGGTTGGGCATATGGTGAACAAATCAATGATAAACATCGTCAACATCCAAATTTAAAACCATATAAATTACTTGATCAAAAGGTTAATATTTACAAAAACGGATAATTTTCTTTTATAATTCAAAATATTTTATTTAGGATATTGCTAAACTAGAAGATCCGATCCGTGAAGCATTAAAATCTATTGAACTATTACAATATCAATTAGAAAAAACAAATACATGTGTAACACGTATTGCTACAAAACCATCACAACGAAAAAAACAAAAAGTATATTTCCATGACGTATATAACACGAACTAAAATTTTTCTTTTCATAGGATCAAAACGTACCGGATTATGTTCCCAAAGCAATGGATTTTAATAGTGTAACAATGAATCGAGAGATGCAGGTAAGAAAAAGTTGTATACTTGAATAAATTAACTACTATTTATTTTCTTTAGGACTTATCTGAGGCTTTAGCTCGAAATGCTCATGAAATGTGGGCAAGGGAGTTAAAAGTTTGCCTTGTTGCAATTGGTAATTATACTTTAAATCTATGAAAAAAGAAGTATACTCACTTATTTAGGTGGTGGTCTTCATCCTCGACTTGTTCCTTACGAATTATTAACTGATACAGAAAAACAAAAAGATTTAAAATTCTATCAGGATCTTATTAAATATCTTTATATATGTGGTTATCATGTTGTCAAGTAAAAGAAAAATATTTTCTCTATCTTTTCTAAATACAAAAACTTCATTTTAGAAATGCATACGAAAGAGATTCGGGAAATAATGCTCTAACGCGTCGTATAGCATCATCAACACCATCATTAATCAATGAAAAACGTTTTGCATATAGTTTATTAGAGAAATTGCTTGAATATGTCGAACGTGCATCGTCAACAATGCAAAATTATAAAGAAAGTTCAAGATTTTCATTACATGAAACATATCGTTTAACAACAAATGATGTGAAATTTTTCGGAAAAGTAAAACAAAATTTTCTTTTTCGAAATAAAATATTTGTAAATAAAATTTTTAGGTTGTTTTACCACTTATTGAAAAATATTTTCGAGCACATCGAGATTATTTCATCACACCATCATCATTAAAAACTGGTATTGGTTATGCATCTGTTAAAGAAAAAGAAATGTGCTGTAGTTTATTTTGTAAATTAACATTTTTACTTCGACAAAAATTCAGTGCATTTGGAAATGATGTTAATATAACTGTTCGATGTTTAAAAGTACTTGTACGAGCAATTGATGTTAGGTATGAATAAAAATCATATTTTTTATAGATAAAAATTCAATAGATTCGTTTTTTTAGTTCGGTTATGAAAAATAGTCAAGAAATGGTTCGTGCTTCATTATTACCATTATTCAATAATATAGCCGAAGATCTTAATCAAACTCTACAGAATTTAAAACTAAATCGTTTTAGTAATATTAAAGGAACTTTACAACGTGGAACAACTAGTTTAGCATATATACATATGGTTTTATTACCTGTACTTTATTCAATGTTTGATCATCTCGGAAAGAATAATTATGGTGTTGATCTATTCGGTATGAAATATAAATTGAATTTTCTCTATCAGTGTTTTATCGAGCGGGAGGGAGCATGGGATATTTTGTACCTTGGAGGTATAATCCTCGATGTATTAGATCGAAAAGAAGATAGTACTTTTTATTTTCTCTTGTATCGAAAACGTTATTTATTTCTTAGAAAATGAAATTCAATTAGCTGGTTATAAAATTTTAATTTCTCTGTGGACTATTGGGACACAAGGAACACAATTTGTGGATCGGTAATTATTGACTGATTAATTTCTTGATTTATAATAAATGAAATCATATTTATAGACAATGGATTATTGAAGAATTAAATCGCTATCGTCCATTACTTGGCGATTGTTTAAGTTCATTTGCTTCATGTTTTCCAGTCGCATTTTTAGAACCGGAATTCAGTGTGAATAATAAACATGCAACAAATATTGCACAATTATCACCAGAAGCTAATGGTAATAATAATAATTCAAAAGAGAAAACATCATAAAATGATTGTGATTTTTTAATAGATATTATGATAAATATTTCGAATACAATTTCTCATTTAACAAAAGTAATTGGTGATATTGAAGAACATGCTGAATCAAGAATAAAATATGAAGATGCACCTTATGTTGTTGAAGTTATTGTTCCATGTGTTTGTTCTTATTTATCACATTGGTGGTCAATTGGTGGAGCACAAAAAGTCAAACAACCAACTGAGTATAACATTATTTATTCTATAAATCTATTTTCATTTTTTTTGTAATAGGCTAAAAGTAACAAATGTTACAGCATATCATATGAATTCGGTATTGGGTAGTATTTTAAAATTAATTAATAATAATATTGATGCAATTGAAGCTCCATGGATGAAACGTATTGCTGGTAAAATATTATTTTTAAATTCATACTTTTGATATATTTGTTATTGTTTAAAGTGTATACTAATGCAATTATATTTAATTCTTCGACGAACCTTCTCGAACCATACTTTTTACCATTATCAAAAGGTTTAAAAATAAAATGTGAAGATGTTTATTCACAAGAACAATCATTGAAACATGCAAATCGTTTAGAATCTTGTGATCGTGAAGATCTTGAATCAAATTTAGCTAAAGTAAATATATATATATATATATAGAAATCAAATCAATATATTTTCTTTTAGAATTACGAGATATTGGTTCGTGATGTTTATGCATTTGTACCATTATTAATAAAATATGTTGATATTCATCGATCCTATTGGCTTAAAAATAGTGATATTCATGCTGAACAGTTATTTAATAATATGGCTGAAATCTTTTCTGTTTGGTGTAAATCAAAAGTAAATTGGAAAAAAAGATGAATCTTTTCTTTGAATTTTAATTTTTTTTTAGTTTTTTAAACGTGAAGAAATTAATTTTGTCAGTCAAAATAATATAGATAATACTAGTATGTTAATGCCAAGCGGAACAAAACAGACGACAGAAACATTAGGAATGAAAACTCAAAATGATATTATTGGAAAACAAAAACGAAAAAAACGTCGAGTTGATAAAGAAAAATTTACATCATTAACGAATGCTTGTATTAAACGTTTATTACCTATTGGAATAAACACATTTGGTGGACGAGAACAAGAACTTATTCAATTAGCTAAACATAAAATGATTGACGTAATTATATATATCATTGAAAATAGATTTATTTTATACTTTACTTACTTCTAATACGATTAAATACTGAGCCGAGAGTGGGTGCGGGTTGGTTGAAGATGTGAATATGGGCGCTAGGTGAATACAGTACCCGTACCTAGGGGTAGGACAGTTCCATATTAGTTTCGTTCTTAGGAACTGTTTAATAGTTTCTTTTGAAAGGAACTGAACTGAACTTGCAACTGCGAACTGTCCTACCCGTACCCACACCCGCCCCACCCACACCCTCATCCTCACCCACATCCGCATCCACCCATACCCAAATATGTTACTATTCTCTCCGATACGCATCAGACATCCGTAAATTTTAAAGATAAGACCTTTCATATTACAACAAATTTTAGCCGTTTTCTTGAATTCATTAAAACGATTAGATCTTCATTTTCAATAGTTTAGCTTGTGAAAAGTCTATCCTTCGAGAATAGTTCCAAATAGAATACTCATAAAGTATCATACTCACAAAATACAAACAGGAAACAATTTCTGATCATTCGTAATTTGAAATGATATTAAAATATGTATATTTTATTGATTTAATAGATGAAACTCAATCAATTCGAAAAAATTGAAAATCCAACGGAAGATCAAATGCTTTTGGAATTAACGGTTTGTTGTTATTCGAGTTTTATTTTGTATAATTCATTCTGTTTTAGGGTGATGAAGAGGAAGCGTTAGAAGAATTTCTTCGAGATATTTTTCATGCTCAAGAACAGGTATACTTCATATTTCTTCTCACATCTTCGTTTTTCATTTATATTATTATCTTATAGGGTGAAGTAATTAATAAAAATAACTGGCAAAGTGCATTATATCGAAAGATTGGTTCAAAGTCGTATTATACAGAATCAATTGATTCTCATGAAACATCAATAAAAAATATGTTAAAAATGGCTAAAGTACTTTTTAATTTGAATTTTGTTGATCATCCACCAGCACATCGTCGTAGTACATGGCGAAAACTTGTTTCAACTCAACGTAAAAAAGCTATAATGGCTTGTTTTCGTATGGCACCATTACATTCAGTAATACGACATCGAGCAATGAATATGTTTTTACGTGCTTATCGAGAACTATGGCTTGAAGCTGAGGAAGATAGACGATCACGTTTAATTGAAAATCTTTGTGTAAAATATTTCATCTTAATTCTTTGTTTTTGTTTTACTGATTTATTTATAATTCATAGGAGGATAATCATGAAATTAATGAACAAGAAGTAACAGTAATTAAAGAAGAGACTAAAACAGAAAATGAAACATTAACATTAACAATGACAATTAAACCAGATCCATTAAGACAATTATTATTATGTTTAAATCGTTCTGCAACTACAGCTCAAGTTTCATCGATTAACGAAGATACTCTTCATTTATCATATTCAGCAATAATGAGTAAAGTAAGATTAAGAAAATTTAAAGCAAATTTATATATATATATATGAAATTTATTTAAAGAGTTGTGCTATTACTGAAGACGATGATGATAATGGAGTGGAAGAAATTAAATCATTTCAAGTAAAAATTAAAAAAATTATATAAACTATACTTATATTCATATTTTCAGGAACAAGAAATGGAAAAACAAAAATTACTTTATGAACAAAATCGTTTAGCTAATCGTGGTGCTGCTGAAACAGTCTTATTATATATAAGTGCAAGCAAAGGTATAATTAAGAATTTTCTTTTAAATATTTTTATTCAATATAAATTTTGAAATTAAGGTGAAAATAATGAAATGCTTCAACGAACATTACAACTTGGTATATCATTATTACATGGTGGAAATCTAGAAGTTCAAAAAGTAAATAAGAATTTCTATAGATTAAAAATATTTATTACCGTTGAAAACCTACCTATAATATTATCCACTTCTATGTCTTAATTAGTATACATAAATCAAAAGGGATTCGAACTATTTCTATAAGATCACCAAGTAAAATTCTGCAATACGACGCGAATGACAATGGAAGTTACAAGCATCGATAAATTATTTGAATAGTTTAGCCTTATGTAAAATAAAGGCTTCTCGAATTTTGCCAACATATTTATAGGAAATTCGTCAGCGTCATTATGTGATTAAGGATGTATAAAAATAACTCCTAGTACCTATATGGAGCGGTTTAGACTATAATATGCTTATCCTGATAATATAAGGTTAATTTGTCACATGCATTTTACACTAATCTTGTGCTATTACAGTTGGCAAAAATCCACTGGACTTACGCCACATCGCGTTTGAACTTGCGCTAATTGGCGAATGTCCTATTGTCGTTTCGCCAACAAACCTATTAATAAAACAATAGAATTTTATATATCTGCTGTATCAAGATTATCAAAATCTCTGTCATTTTTATTTTAGCGAATGTTAGATTATTTAAAAGAAACAAAAGATGTTGGATGTTTTACATCCTTAGCAACATTAATGGCTAATTGTAGTGTACTTGATCTTGATACATTTGAACGTTGTATTAAAGCAGAAGTACTTGGTATGTTAATGCGTAATATGAGTAATAATTACATATGAATATGATTATATTTAGGTGTTGGTTCAGAAGGAATGGCTGGAGAAAAAAATTTACATGATGCTGATTTTACAATTTCACTATTTCGTTTTTGTCAATTATTATGCGAAGGACATAATCTTGAATTTCAGAATTATCTTCGATCACAACCAGGAAGTAATACAAATGTTAATATTATTATTTGTACTGTTGATTATTTATTGAGTTTACAAGTAATTCGAAGGAAAAATTTGATATTAATATTTTATTATTTAAATATATAGGAGTCATTAATGGATTTCTATTGGCATTATTCTGGCAAAGGAACAGTTGATGCACATGGAAAAGAAAATTTTTGTCGAGCTATTAATGTTGCTAAACAAGTTTTTAATACATTAACAGAATATATTCAGGTTTGATTTTAAAGAGAATTTATAAAATAAATACTGTTTGTTATTTAGGGTCCATGTCCACAGAATCAATTAGCATTGGCTAACAGTCGATTATGGGATGCCATAGCTGGATTTCTCTATATTTTTGCACATATGCAAAGAAAATTATCACAAGTAAAATTTAATTGATTCATTTTTCGAATTTCTATTTGATTCAATAGGATCCAACACAAATTGAATTATTACGTGAATTAATAAAATTACAAAAAGATATGATTATTCTATTATTATCCATGCTTGAAGGTAAGACGAAATAATTTTGAAATATTTTATCGAAGGGATAAACAACAGAGACTTCATGCCAGTGGCGGATCTAGGATTTTGGAAGGGGGGGGCGATTTTTTTTTTTTTTAGTATGGACAGAGGATACCTGGGGAGGGGGTGGGGGATTTTTTTTGAGTATGGAGGGGCGATACTTGGGGGGGGGCGATTTTGGTTAAAAGCTATTTTTTGAGTCCAACCGAAGTAGTATGAACCTATTTTTTCGTTCATTTTTGCTGTAAAAAATCAAAAAAAAATTCGGAAGGGGGGGGCGATCGCCCCCATCGCCCCCCCCTAAATCCGCCACTGCTTCATGCCTAAAGTCTCATAAAATCTCATGAAGTCTCGCGAAGTCTCTAGAAGAAGAAAAAGAACGACCATACCATTTTTTTAGTATAGACCGCTGTCCAAGGACAGTTTCGATATGCCCGGTATTTCCTACAGCTATGACCAGGTGTAGCTCTGGTCAGGGGGCCAGTCTTGATCTAGAGTTCTTCTCGCTCAATTACTTGAGCTCCCCATATATTCTGACTAACATGTAGTTAAAATATTTTCGGACGGATGATCCGAGACAAAATGGCCGCTATTGACTTGTCTAGGGTCATTACATAGCTGGTGATACCGAGGTTTGAACACGGTACCTCATGGTAACATGCTAACCACATAACCATTCAGTCATGCCGGCTTAGTCTCTAGAAGTCTTCTGAAATCTTGAAGTCCGCTGTTTTCCCCTTGATTTTATCTTTTTTGTTATTTATTTCTAGGTAATGTTCTTAATGGTCCAAGTAAGTTATTTTCTATTATAAAAAGATATGTATGTATATTTATTTGATATTAGTTGGTAAACAAATGGTTGATACATTAATTGAATCTCAATCAAATGTTGAATTATTATTACAATTTATTGATATATTTCTTAAAATGAAAGGTTTGACAACATCGGAAGCATTTCAAGAATTTGATGCGAATAAAGATGGATTTATTTCGCCAAAAGAATTTCGTCGTGCTATGGAAGCACAAAAAATGTTTACAAAGTAATCAATATTAATTATTTAATAAAAATAAAATAAATTCTTGATTCTGTTTCTTATCTTTAGTCAAGATATTGATTATATATTAATGTGTGTTGATGTAAATCAAGATGGAAAAATTGATTTTATGGAATTTACTGAACGTTTTCATAATCCAGCTAAAGATATAGGTTTTAATATGGCTGTATTATTAATAAATTTATCTGAACATATGCCACATGATTTACGTTTACAACGTTTAATGGATAAAGCAAAAAGTTTTCTATCCTATTTTCAAGAATTTCTTGGTAGAATTGAAATTAAAGGTGGTGCTGGTTATATTGAACGTGTTTATTTCGAAATAACTGAATCAAATATTGAACAATGGAATAGCCCACATATTAAAGTTTGTTTTTCATTTTTTCAATAATAAAACAATATGATAGTTTTTTTGTTTTAGGAATCGAAAAAAGCATTTTTACATTTAGCAGTCAATGAAACTGATGATAAACAAAAATTAGAAAAATTTATTAATTTTTGTGAAGATACAATTTTTGAAGTAAGATTATCTTATCCTTTGTAAAGAATACATTGCTTTATTTCTCATTTAGATGCAACATGCAATTGCTCTTAGTGGTGAAGATGATGAACAAGCATCTGAAATGACATCATTATCTATTAATGAATCTAATATCATGCAACCCACTATATCTGATCCTATTAAATCAACCTTTACACATACATGGTCCGGTATAAAATATCTCTTTCATTTATTTCATCCATCAACAATTTATAATGCTTGTCAACAATTTCAACAAATGGCATTTAGAGAGATGATTAAAAATTTGATTTTCCTATTCATTAGATCCATACGTTTATTTTTTACGGTCATGTTTTTTACCTTCAGGTATATAAAGATGGTTTGAATTGAATTAAGGCAAAGAATATTTCTTATTTTCTATATAGAACATTGACATATTGTATCTACACTTTAATGGCTGGAGATGAACTACAAGAAAGAAAACCAATGGAAAGAACTAATTTAACTCCACCAACAAAACGTCGTGATTATCGTTTATGTATGTTTTGAAAAACACGAACTAAATGGAGTGTTGAAGTGTCTAGAGGCAGAAATTTGCACACCCCACAGACGTGACCGACACATGAATATTGAGTTGCAGAATAAAATAAAACTATTGAACTCATACTGCTTAGGAAAGATAGATATGTGAGTAGTTTTCGGTATTAATCGATGATTCTCTTGAATTTTGTATCAACTGTTAAAATGATAATCAGGTGACTTCAATATATGTAAATTATTTCTATTTCTTTATACCACAGGATGAGATAAAAGGCACTGTATACTGATACAATCAAACTATCTTCTTGAAGGTAGAAACACAGTTAGATCGTGTTGCACATTTTTAATCCCGTCAGGGATTACGCTAACAGTTTTTATATTTTCTCTGATTAAATCTAATTCTAATTTATTTTTAGCATCGGTTAATATACTGCATAATGGTTTTAATACTAGTGAAGATTCAACATCAGCTAATACACATGGAATTGATCATAGTTATGATACAAAATCAAATCATAGGTTAATTCATAATATTATTCATTTATTTTTATATTTTATATAAATATTGTAGGATGTCTTTAATTAATCAACAAGGTAATTTGGTTAATGTTGATGACACACGAATCTTTGATTCTCAGCAACAATCTCTATTTGTTAATACTATTGATTCATCCAAACAACAAAATCTACCATCATCAGTTATTACAACAGCACATTTAACACCGGTACATTATCGTAATCAAAATCAATATTCAATAACAGCTTCTGTACCACATCAACCACATTTAAATACAACAATAAATCTATCACAAAATTTAATAGAAAAATCTAAACATGCATTTGAAGTAGATTATATATTATTTATTTTAAATGTCACTGTTTTTCTTTATAAAGGTTAATATTCAAGCGGAATATCACCAGAAAGGATCATCGAGTAATATTAATTCAGCAATAGTTGAAGATGAGGAAATTATTCATTCAGAAACACGAATACGAACAGATTATGGTAAAAAAGCTCTGGTAAATATTTTATGAGATGTTGATAAATTTTAACATTAACTTATTTATTATTAGGCATTGGTGGCAAGAAATTATCATCTATTAAAATTTATCGCACTTTGTCTTGCTTTTGTCATCAATTTTCTTATGTTATTCTATAAGGTAACAATCATTTATTTAGTAATTATTAGAATTTCATAGAAATATTTTAGGCAATACCAACACCATCTACAGCAGCTGGTGAGGCTATACCATCTGATGTAGTAGAACATTTTGATAATGATGATAATGAAATAATAATGATTGATCCGTCAAAACATTATATGATATATCTGTTGAAAACTAGTGCATTTTTACATTCATCAATTGCATTTTTAATGATGATTAGTTATTATAAATTAAAAGTATGCCAATGAATATTTTTCGTTTAGTTTTAACAAAACAATTCTTTTATTTTTTAGGTTCCATTAGTTATATTTAAACGTGAAAAAGAAATTGCAAGAAAATTAGAATTTGAAGGTGCTTGGTTAATTGATCAACCAAGTGGAGATAATTCTTGGTTATTATCTTATTTATCACGTGAATGGCATAAACTTGTTATAAGTTCAAAATCATTTCCGAATTATTATTGGGATAAATTTGTTAAGAAAAAAGTTCGAAATAAATATTCCGATCAATTTGATTATAATGAACTAAATCGATTTTTGGGTATGGAAAAAACGGATACACCTGGAAAATTTGAAATTGTTAAAACAATAGAAACTGGTTTATGGGGAAAGTATGTAAAAAAATAGAATTGAGAAGATATATATATATATATATTCATTATAGAATTAAATCAATTGATATGCGTTATCAAATTTGGAAATGGGGTATTATTTTTACGGATAATGTAAGTAATTAACGATGTTGTCAAGAAATGCGGAAAAAGAAAAATCTGAAGAGTGAAAAATCAAGGAAAATTTTATTCGTAGTGTTATAGTAATAGAAGATATAACAAGTAGAAATATTGAAGATGTGAGAGACAGTTTGATAAGATCGATGTCGCCGTTGCAAGAGCGACTACCTAAATTATCGATGTGTTTCTGCATGGCCAATGTCTTCGGCGCTTTCTTCTGTTGTGCTCTCGGCTTAAGCTTGAGAGATTGTTGTCGAAAGATGACTTCTACGGCTTGCAAGCAAGCGAGGGTGTGGGTGGATCTTCCTATCTCACACCCATACCCACACCCTTTTTTTTTGCTCTGTTGTCATACTATCTCGCTGAGCGGATATCGGGTATGAGATTTCCATGTTCAGAAACATGTTCTATTTCTTTTCCAGATTTCTTGACATATTCTAATTAACGAGGGAACCACTCGAGGTGTAAAGAAGCTTTTGACACAAGTAGGAGATGTGCCCAAGTTAGTGTTTGACTGAGATATCAAGTATTTATCCTGTAGGGTCCTATCTGCTAGGTAAAATCAAAGTTTCGAATTTAGACCTGAAACATTGTCCACACTAAAAATATTCATGTGAAACCTAATATCTATAAGAGAGCGTCTTAATGCCAACATACTTGTATATCGGAGACAGTCTTTCCGAAACTTTTCTGATTGAGGTCTTAGTGTGGACAATGTTCCAGGCCTAAATTCGAAACTTTGATTTTATCGCACAGATAGGGTCCTATATCATAAATATTTGATATCTCGGTTAAACGTCAACTTGGGTACATATCCTTTTAGGTTTTTTTTGTAATCTACGCGTCCCCTACTTGCAGGCAAAACATTAGAAATTAACACTCTAAATAGTGATCTTGAACATTGAACGATAGAGTGACTTGAAACAATATGAATTTTTATAAATTTATTTTTTTTTCAGTCATTTCTTTACGTCTTCTTCTATTTTTCATTCTCTGTCATTGGAAATTATGCATTTTTTGTTTTCGCAATACATTTACTTGATGTCGCAATCAGCGTTAAAGCTTTAAGTACAATATTAAAATCAATCACGCACAACGGTCGACAGGTATGTTTCTATTACAGCTTTCTTATTGATATCGAATAAAAAAAAACATGATCTCGTATCTTTTAGTTGCTTCTAACAATTATGTTAATGGCTGTTGTTGTTTATCTTTATACAGTTATTGCATTTAATTTTTTTCGTAAATTTTATACAAAAGAAGAAGATGAACAACGGGAAGAAAATTGTAAAGACATGTTTACTGTAAGTTAATAAATAATAGTTCAATATTTTACATATGTTCTATCTCTGTCAGTGTTTTAAATTTCATCTATATTCTGGTATTCGAGCTGGTGGTGGTATTGGCGATGAACTTGAATCACCAAATGGTGACCCACTGGAATTATACCGAATTATATTTGATATTACGTTCTTCTTCTTCATTATCGTTATTCTACTTGCTATTATTCAAGGTTTAATTATTGATGCTTTTGGTGATCTTCGTGAGCAACTTGATTCAGTAAAAGAAACACTTGAGGTAAAATGAAGATGATTTTATATATTGCAATTTTATTTATTTTGTTTATTTAGTCAAAATGTTTTATTTGTGGGATTGGCCAAGAATATTTTGATAAGGAACCACATGGTTTTGAAGTAGGATATTATTCTATACGATAAGCAACTTTAATTATTCTTTTATTTAGACTCACACAACAGTAGAACATAATTTTGCAAATTATTTGTTCTTCTTAACACACCTTCTCAATAAACCTGATACAGAACATACTCGACAAGTTAGTTTAGTTTGATAAATATGAAATTGAATATGAAAACTGTCTTTTTTTTCTCTACAGGAAAGTTATGTTTGGGATATGTATCAATGTCGTAAATGGGATTTTTTTCCTATTGGTGATTGTTTTCGACGACAATATGAAACGGGTAATAGTAGTGGAACAACTACTGAAAGTTAAATAAGACTTATTTAATTTTGTTTACTGTATCGGTGATTTATTTGAATGAACGTTTTGTTTTTTGTTTGTTTGAGTTTATTTAGATGCTTATATTTGTTATCTTAATGCAAAATACATTTTCTTTTTAAATAAAGATTGAATGAGTTTGAATATGATTGCAAAAGTCATTTTGAGTTTTCTTAATTGTCATAGAATATCGTTTTCTCGACTACGAAAAGATGAGATAATACGAGGGTGTAGGTGTGGATGTATATCTGTCATTCAGCTACACCCACAACCACACACGCCAGCCTTGTCTTTATTGGAAAACAAATAAAATATTTTAAGTAAAAATTCCTCATTGAATTACTTCTATATAATATATGATTAATTAAGAAAATTCAACAATACTTACAATTAATGCAAATATAGATGTAAGCCAACGACGAAAAATATAAATATCTAGTCAAGTTGGTTGCGTAGAGACTTGGGAGAAGTCTCTAATTATTTAGATAGATGTAAAATAAAATGTTAGGTCTATCACAAGTCTATTAGCAGATATGAGTAAGAAATGCTTGAATCCGCTGCTAAGCTTCCTTATATTACAAAAGCAATTGTTTGATATAATATACTTCTTTTAACATTTGTCTAATAATAAAGTATTCTATGCATTATGTATGTATCTTTACTGCTGCATGTGGTTTAATGTTTGTTTAAGATGTAAACATGAACGAATAAAAAAAATCTACTAATGGTTTCTTTTTCTTTTTCTTTTTTCACTAATGCTTTACAAACAATTTTATCGTTTCTATGCAGTCATTGTTAAAGTTACTTTGTGCTGTTAAGAAGAATTTCTATCTGTGAGTTTGCTTAAAATGATGTTTTGTTCATTCAAATCAGAGTACAACTTTATTCTTTTTAATCTTTTCAGAAGTAAGCAATTTTATAGTCAGTAGAAACATCGTTGTGATAGCATATAAACTGTTTTTTACAGAACAAATTCCTCTTTCTTTTTCTTTGAATATGCTGAATCGAAAAATACTGGCCATGATGAAACAAAAAATAGCATTTTCAGCATACACCTTTCTCGCTGTACAAACAATCTTCAATTGAAAAACTGCTTTTTTTTTCTTTTTATTTGTCAAAGAAATGTCGTTACTTGGAAGAAGCCGTCGTAAGTTATCGAAATAAGTTAGTTTTGAAGTAAAAAATACTGTTGACAGTTATATTTGCGTAGGCAATTTCTGAGCAACATATAGACGAAACTCCTCGTGCTGCAACTCGTAGATAGTTCAAAATGAGATTTCAGAAATACTGAGGCTACCACTGCTCCTTTACAAAACCTTGTATCATAATAGATTACAGCGACTTTCTTTTTACAATATCTTCGGTTTATGTGACTATATCAAATAGTAAGGTGTAAAATCTCTATTGAAAAATATACTAGATATTATACTAATTTTTATTTCAATTTATTGAATAAGCTGAGAATAGTTGATGCGCTATTTGCAGACGTATTGAAGGAAATTATGTAACGTTTTTTATGCCATTAATATTGTTTTGCAATTGATGTGAATAGAGTATTACCTTTTAAAGCATCTTTGTTGTATAGTATACACAATATCCAAATTCCGCTGAATTTTAGATCAAACGAACAAATACAGGTATGGCTATATCCATTGATATTAATCATCGTCTTCTGGAAAGCATTCGTGATGAACCTAAGAGGATGCTAGTACCAATATCTGGCTATGAAAACGTAACTGTTAAATCTCTCGAAGATGCATGTGAACCAATAAAAGACTTGTTCGATGACCAATTGAAACAATTTATAATCATTGCGAAAATGAATTCCTCGGATCCCGAAGACAAACTCACCCAAGATGAGTCAGCTTCTGTTCATCTTTATACTATGGAATGGGCAAAACATGATAATAGTTTGTATATGAAGCTTAATCAAATACTTCGCTTGGCTGATCGTTCCAAATTAACACCTTGGTTTAAATATTTAAAATTGTTCTTAACAGCATTTTTCAAATTGCCGTATGTAAAAATACATGTATTTTGCAAGTCATTTCATCCTGTATTTTAGACCCAGTAAAGATACGTTAGTTTGGCGTGGTGTTCGTGAAGATCTTAGTGCGATTTATCCAAAGGGGAAAGAATTTGCTTGGTGGGCATTTAGTTCTTGCAGTGCTTCGATTGATGTGCTCGAATCTCCGAATTATTTAGGAAAATCAGGTACAAGAACAATATTTTCTATTCAAACTAATCGTGGAAAGCTCATTCGTGCACATTCATATTTTGACAATGAAGATGAAATACTCTTACCACCAGGTATATATCTTAAAGTAGTTGGCTGTTTAAATCCAGCCACTGATCTACACATTATCCATCTTCAAGAAATCGAGCCACCGTATAAAATGCTTGCAGATCCTTTCGATCTCAGTGAGCTAAAGCATGCTTTACCTCCAATGAAACCACCGTCATACACGCTAAATCCACAGAAAGAAGAAAAATATAGTTCACCAACAAATGTTATATCAAAACCATCTGTACAACCATCTTTCGAAAAAGGTAAATTCATTGTTTTTTCTTAGATATGAGAGCTTCTTTATCAGACATTTCAGTCAAGTGTATCGTACAATTTTACCGCAGGTTTAGTATCAAACTTCGGAGTCTTGAGACCTAGATAAGGTTTTTCATAATCTTTCAAATAAGTAATATCGCCACATAAATACTACGATTATCAACATACCCAAATAAACAACGTTTTGAAAACCTAAAATTCATTTAAAATAAGGATAATAAATTATAGAGCATACGAACTAGGTTTTCTTTAAACTGATCTAAAAATAAATACATACGTGAGTAGTTGTTTTTCTAAAAAAATTTCGATTGTAAATCACTTCTCGAACTTGACAAGTTTCATCGATTTCTGTAAGTTTGCAATCTTGATAACTGAGTGTAGGGACAGTCAGACCTTTTTTCTCAACTTATTACAGAGACTATTACTCTTTATTTAGAAAAACCAACAATCGTTACACCAAAGGAACAATCGCCATATTCTGATAAGAAGCTTCATAAGGAGTATACATTTACTTACTAATCTTCAAAAAGTATATCAAATTAAAGCCTATTCTGTTAAGGGATTACAGTAAATGAATACAATTTTTGTTGTAACTATTCATTATGAATATGGTCCTGATTTATTTAATGGGGGCGAAGTAAACTATTATTGAAATAATAAGATAAACGAACAGACATTAAGGGACGTTATGACTATTCATTTTCTATATTCTAAGTGATGTTGCGAATTTGTAAACTTCCTTGACATGAAGCAATATACAAAAACAGGTTTATGCTCAATATTATTATCTCTTCATGCAATCTTCGACTCACTTGTTAATTGAAATATTTAGTCAACATTGAACAAAGTTTTTTGAATGCAGTTTTTGCGCCAAATGTCATGACTATTCAATAAATACATAATTTATTCTCAAGTAGTTAACTTAAATTTATTGGATGAACATTAACAAAGTAAATGAATGAAACTTTGGTCGTTGCCGTTATTATCAATCAATTTTTATGTGATGTTGAATGAGCGAATCAATCTCAATGGTTCATTGACAATTTATAGTTAAATATGAATTAAACCATGATGATGGCAGTTCATACGATATTCAATCTTCGTACAATTGCTATGTGGAGAAACTTAACCACCTTACTAATAAAATAAGTGAATAAATATATTGGTAACTAATCATTTAACTTTGATGTGATCTTTGATATATCTGTTACAACAATATCTTTTGTTTTTGTGGAAATAGAGAAAGAGAATAGGACTGCTGGACATTATTCATTCACTTGTTAGTTGCTCTATAATAGCTAACTATTCATTAAGCTTTGCTCTAAGATAAATACAATAGATGAATAAGTTTTTTCTTGCAAATGTTCATTTACAATGTGTTCTTCAATTCTACGCTTGATGTATAAGTGCTAACTTGTATGAATTAGAATAGTTGAATAAAAGAATAATGGTTATACACTTTATTCCTCAATTATGTAGTTTTTTTATCAATGCGATTGGTTGAACTTCTGATTCGTTGGATTAAGAGAAGTGAAAGCTGTTATTGGAAATCGGTTGTTCATATGTTGGATGATATTCCACTTATGCGCCAGTTCAATCATTTTGTACCTGGGTGAATAAAAAGATTGGATGAAATTTGGATCATGAGTATTCATTTCCTTTATCATCGTGAATCACCATGCATAGTCTCATTATTTACTTTCAACCTACTACCATAGTCGAACAAAGGTTTCATTAAAGTTATTCTTTTAGCCTGTCATAAATGATCAAGTAAAGTGTTGACTGAAGTCATAGAAAATTATGCAAATATTGGATATAAGTATACAAAAGTGTTTATCCATTTGTTGTACGATGTTTGATCAGACTGTGATGTCAAGAGTATTTTTTACTGTGAGCATGAAATGTAATTTGAACATGCGTTTTCACTATTCGTTAGTTATGTGGCGTATGATCGATTTATACACGATGAACTATCAATTTGAATGATGATGTAAATATATAGAATGCTGATAGAAATCAGTTATTTGATATGTAACCATTGATCTACCGAAGAATGAAACAACTTTGTTGTATTATGAGTCAGATAACTGAGCAAAACTTTGATTACAAGTATTCATTAACTAAATAAACATTCATCGAATGATAGTGCATCCATATTACCTCAAAGTAAGAGTAAATGATGAATAACATCTTGCAAGCTGCACTTAAAAATAGTACAAAAATAACATCATCACGTCTGGGTTACTCTCTTTGTTTCTTTGTGAACATATTGTATTAGTTGTATTTTCAATTAAATCTATCATTTTATTGTAATGCAAGCAATATCAAATCAGTACCGTTATTGCCATGACTCTCTAATAGAAACCAAATGTAGATAAATTATTTAAGCTTATTCTAAATTATTATACAAAAACAACGCTTACAATAAACACTTGATAAAACAAGCACCGTATATTATATCATTTTGAAATACTTATTCAAGTTGCAAAATTTTTGTGTCTGTTCAATTGAATCGTTTTTATTATCCATTTCTTAGTAATTTACACCTTTTAATATATTATCTCTCATTCTGTCACAATATTCTTGTTAAGTACCACAATCTATTCCTTCACATAGATATTTTTTCTTAATTTACTTGCTGAATTTGCAAATAGCCACGCTCACGATTCAAATGAAGCATTGTTTTATATCTATCTTTACTGCTTTTTATTATAGAGCTGGAGCTGAATTAATATAATTTTAACATAACAGCATTCTTCTTACAATAGCAATATGTGTTTTCATTGATGGAATAGAAAGAATCTTTGAACAAAGAGCCTATAAATTTTGTTTTGATTATTCTCTAAACAAATAACACGAATAAAAAATATTTAATAGAGTGTGAGTGTGCTATTGTCTAACAGCTACCAACACCCACATGATCTTAGAAATCAAGATGAATATAACTGTGGTCACCATTCATCGTTACCATATATTTAGTATAGGCAGTTATCTGTGAGATTACAATTTGATACATCGAAATATTTACTATATAGATCATCGCTTTAGAATTGATTACTCTCTTTACATATATTTTGACAATATATGAACGAAGTTCGAAGAAAGGTCATTTGACAGAGCGAATGTTGTAGTATATTCTAGAAATGAACATTTCACAAATTTTCTCACTGATCTCCTCGTGACAAAGTCAGTTATATACAGTAGACTGTGAAAATTATTATTCGTAAGCTTGAAGCCTATAAGTTATTTCAGCTTTCCTACAACTTTATCGGAAATTCAGTCTCCTGAGTCGACTTTGCAGATTCAAATATTCATAAAAAACATATCATGAAGAAATACTACTGTGTTTCAATACATTTAAATGAGAGCAACATAAAACTCCTGTTTCGAATGATTATGTTGAAGTGCACCAGTCAAATTATTACTCGAGTTCTCAACGAGTGTTTCTGGTGAGCACAAGAATTCTTGACAAAGGTGCAATTTCATTTGTAGTGTGGTTTCAAAATGCTTCCCGCTTAAAACTGTATCAAAAATTCCATTGCTTTTTACTTTGCTTTCCACATTCGTCAGAAATTTGTAAAACTCCTGTAAATTAACAGCTAAATTTTGCACCACATATCTATAAGATATTATGCTCGAGCCTCAACATCATGTGATATAGAATAGCCTACTACAAGTTATTTATGACTGTTTGTTCAGAATCTCATATAGAAAAGTAGACTACCTACGCGTTTAACCAATGAAAGTCAATGTTGAAACTAGCAAATGGTTCGTCAATAATTGTCAGCATTTTGAGTAGCAAACCAGAATAATTCTAGACAAATTAGTATTCCAACAGTATGTGCAGGCAATCATAATTGTAAGCAAAAGATCAATATATTAGATTGTCTTTGAACACTATCCTATCTCGTAAACTATTTGAAGGTTAGAGTATTCTCATTCTTCACCTAAGTAGTTTCTCCATCTTCCACTGCTCATAACGGACAAATATTTATGAAAAAAGTGCATTCGGCATTAACGCCGAACAGAACACTCTGATTATTCTCACACGAAGAAATGTCATATCTATGCTATTATATTGCAGAATCTAATCTTTGGTATCGTTACAAGGAGACAATTCTACTTGAGTAGATCTTCAACCTGCGCTTCAAGGGGTTTATCCCTTTTCGTCCTTGCTTTCCCAGACATCCGGTCGAATAACCGAATGCTCAAAATCGGAAATAGAGCACAAAATCGTTTTACTGATGTTCGGAATGAAAACTGTACAGATGTTCGGAACCAAAAAAATACTGGATGTCCGAAACATAAAATGCATTTTCTTACGAACATTGGCCATTCACTCTTACGTACATCCATCGTTTTCATTCTGAACATCCATCATTTTAAATTGCGAACATCGGTCATTTTGTGTTCCGACCATCCTGTATTTTTCATTGCGGACACCTGTACGACTTTCATCCCGAACATCCGGTCTTTTTCATTCGAAACATCGGAATGTTTTCAAAGCAATTGAAGTCAGAAACCACTTTTTCTGACCAATGTCCGAAAAAAAAATCAAGGACGAAAAGGAATTTTCCCGTTTCAAGTACTAATTCAGTTTACCCTCATAACAAACTTTAAAACATGACTGCATCTAGCATTTCTCGCCATCCCTCTCTATCACAAAACACTAATTTTCCACTTATCTCAGCCCTAATTTATAACTGAAAACTGACAAAGACCCAACCTGATCACATTGTTTCTGAATAAATTCATTCCACATTCAATGACTTTGCGCACTGCTGTGGCTATTCAACTTCAAACCTTCTCTTCTGAGTGAACCAAAGAGGTGAACAGAACATTTGTAGCAAATATTCCTTACTCATATGATACTCAAAGAAGTGATCAAAATGCAAGCTTTTCTTCAAAGTGAGTAAAAGAGGTGAGCAGAACATTAATTAAAAATATTCATTTTTCATATGATGCTCGATGAGGTGATCAACTCTCCAGTATTTGTTCATAATGAGCAAAAAAGGTGAACAGAACATTGATTAGAAGTATTCATTTGTCATGTGCTGTTCGATGAGGTGATCAACTCCGAGGCTATTTTCAAAGTGAGCGAAACAGGTGAATAGAACAGTTATGAGAAATATTTATTTGTGATGTGATGTTCAATGAAGTGATTAAGTCCTACTCTTTTCTTCAAAGTGAGCACAAATGGTGAACAAAATAGTTATGAGAAATATTCATTTGATATGTGATATTCGGTGAGATTACTAATGGATACGTTTCATTTTCATATAATCCAGAGAAGTGCACAATAAAGTCTCCAAGGTAAATCTCGTTCACTGTATAATGGCCGATAAAGTGATCAGCTCGCAAGCTTTTGTTCAAAGTGAGCAAAAGAACTGAACAGAACATTTTTTAGAAATAATCATTTGTCATGTGATATTTGAGAAGGTGTTCAGCTTGCAAGGTTTTCTTCAAAGTGAGGAAAAGAGGTAAACAGAACATTTTTTAGAAATAATCATTTGTCATGTGATATTCGAGGAGGTGCTCAGCTTGCAAGGTTTTCTTCAGAGTGAAGAAAAGAGGTAAACAGAACATTGCTTATAAATATTCATTTTTGATTTGATGTTCGATGGGATGATCAGCTCGGAAGCTTTACTTCAAAGTGAGCAAAAAAGGTGAACAGAAGATTGGTTAAAAATATTCATTTTTGATTTGGTGTTTGATGGGGTGATCAACTCGAAAGCTTTACTTCAAAGTGAGCAAAAGAGGTGAACAGAACATTGATCAGAAACATTCATTTGACATGTGATGTTTGATGAGGTGATCAACTTGAGAGCTTTTCTTCAGAGTAAGCAAAAGGGGTGAACAGAACATTGTTTAGAAATATTCATGTGTCATGTGACTTTCGATGAGGTGATCAACTCGCTAGTATTTCTTCAAAGTGAACAAAAGAGGTGAATAGAACATTGGTTAGAAATATTCATTTGTCATGTGACTTTCGATTAGGTGATCAACTCGCAATCTTTTCTTCAAAGTGAGTAAAAGAAGTGAACAGAACATTGGTTAGAAATATTCATTTGACATGTGATGTTTGATGAGGTGATCAACTTGTAAGCTTTTCTTCTAAGTGAGCAAAAGAGGTGAACAGAACACTAGTTACAAATATCCATTTTCCATGTGATATTCGAGGAGATGATCACCTTGTAAGATTTGCTCTGACGTGTGTAAAATATACGAAAATAAGTTTCGTTGAAAACATTCACTAATTTTGGTGTACAGGTTTTTACAGGCAGTTCTACGTCAGTCGATTACATTAATATATTTTGTGAACAATCTCTTCTATGTGAATGTGAAGATAATCGTTCCTAAAGCGAGAAACATTGGTATTTTGACATTTGATTATTTAAGTAATAATCATGTGAAGTGTGAAATGATATTAAAAAGTTTTCAAGAGAGCTAATCAAGAAAAGTTTGCTTTTTAACTTCTTTGCTAATTCAAAAAGATGTATTGTTTTGAAAATAAAAGTCTTTTACTATTAAGACCATTATAATATGAATATATATATAGGTTTTGAAAGATGAAATGATTTCAAGTTTGACTTGTTTCTTCTCCTGGCTGAAATATCAAAAATTCTTTGAAATTTTATCTGTCTAAGTTTCTTTGAATATAGTCAGTATTTTAGTAGAAAGACTGGAATCAAGGTATTCACCGTTCTTGATACCAAAGCATTTCATTTGAAGACAATAGTTTATGATTCTTTTGTTCGTATTTGACCATAAAGAGTACTATATTCTGAGAATTAATGTTGAAATAGATCAAATTTGAGATTTAAAAGATAAAGGGTTGCACTATCAAAATGCCATTGAATGCCCTTATTAATATTCTTACAAAAAATTTGGTAGTATAGAAAATGCTCAAAACGGATTCATATAGAAGAATAATGACAAGACGCCATAGAACAATATTTGAAAAAGAAAATTTTAGACTGATAAGTTTCAGAAAGGTAACAAAATATCTGATCAGTTGAAAAGATGAAATGATCAGTTCAAAGAATGAATGATCAGTATGTAGACTACCAGTAAATGAGAATGCATCCTATTCCGCGATGTTGAACATTGGAGGAATCAGTTCCGCACCGGAATCGATTCCGTCCAATTCCGGGAACTCGATCGACACACAACATAAGACACCCAGTCAAGATTGATCGAGTTCGACCGAATTCCGGAATTGCACGGAATTCCCACCGATTCCGGAATTGCGGGAATTGGTTCCGATTCCGGAATTCCGCACCGGAATCACACCATCCACCTCACCCACATTTGTTGTGTTGTGTTGATAAGTTATCCCGTTTGAATACGATCCAATTCCGTTGCGGAATTCCGGGAATTGCATCAAGACGGAATTCAGTGGAATTGGACGGAATTCCTGGGAATTCCTACCGATTCCCACCAATTCCGGAATTGCGTGGACTACTTCTAATTACGGGATTACATGGAATTCCTATCGATTCCGGAATTATACGGAATTCCTACCAATTCCGGAATTGGACGGAACTCGATCAATTTTCGAGTCGGCATCGGATATTATGTGTCGATCGAGTTCCCGGAATTGAACGGAATCGATTCCGGAGCGCAGTAATAAAATCATCTTTTAGCAGTAAAAAGTAAAATCTTGATAAGTAAGAAAAGAAAATTCGATCAGTAAAAAGGATGAAGTCACCAGTAGAAAAGCTACTTACTCATGAAGTATTATGTAGAACAAAAAAGAAAAAGAATAGAAATAAAGAAATTAGAGTTGAATCATTGTACCAATCAGTGTTTTATCCAGCTTTTTTCGTCCGAGGGTGCGAAATTAACTGCCGGGGGGGCAAAAATCTCTCTTCCGAGGGGGCAAACGTAGAGTTTCAGACTCAAAAAGTGTAACTTTTTTGAATTCCGGGGGGGGGGGGGGCAGGAGCACCCTCCGAGGGGGCAAAAAGCCCCGTGCCCCCCCGCTGGATAAACCACTGGCACCAATAATGCACGTTTGGCTTTTGCTGCTACAGGTGGTTTGCAAATTTTCAGACGAATAGCCATTCCAACCATATCCTTGCATATGTAATCTTTAAGAAAAGCCAGACAATTACATTTGGATGTTTTCCAATTTAAATCATCCATCATTTCTAAACACCAAACATCATATGAATTTCGAATAGTTTGAAGCTTGTCCATTTTTGTTTAATGCATCTTTTTAAATCAATTTGAGAAATAGATTGTAAATTACGTGCTGGTATATAATATTTTTTCGAAACATCATTTTGAATACTGATAATTTCTTTAGTAGTTTTAGCTCATTGGTATGAAGAAGTCCAAAGTCGTAAAGATATTGTTGATTCTGTAGCAAATATTTTAACATTTGTTGAAGATAAACTACGTTCAACAGACCAATAATCAACTATAGTTGAACTGATTGTCAAAAATCTAGATAAGAGGTGACGCTCATGTCTGGAACAACGTTTTGCGTATTCATTATCGTCTGTATTATTTAGATTAAATTTAAATCGAAAGTTGAACAAAATAAATTTACCTAGTCAGTCTTTTGTAGTGAACTAGAGAAAGAAAGAAAGTCACTAAGAGAACAAAAGACAAGTCGAACAGACTTTATTGTCTGTTTCGACTTTTTCACTAATTCTTTTGTATAACAAACCGTTAAAGTATTTCATTTACTGGTCGTATAATTTATTACAGCATGTTTTTATTTAATAACTGATCATTTGACTAGTTTACTGATCGTTCAATCTATTTACTGATCATTCATTCAGTCAACTGATTTTCGACATTTTTATTTTACTGATCGATTAAATCCTAGCCTTTCAGAAATATACCACACAATGATAGATGATAGTAATTGCAGTTTGTGATATCAACTAATCAAGATTATATCTCTATTCACGTTATATCATGGCATTGTAGAAGCCATAGAGTCTATTGTCAGCAGATATATAGTTTTGTAACGTTATTTACAAGTCTTCATAGTATGTACAGTACTAGGCACTGATATTATCAATGTATATATAAGATGTATGATTCTTTACAACTTACATAGTTGTCTCTTATTGTTCAATTAAATTATTTCATATTTAATAGCAACCTATGCATTAGCCTCGATAATCTTCATTCTGTTAATTTAACTTATTTATCCAAAAGCACTACAATTACCTAACTCAGTCGATCTTCATATGAGTGGTAGCAGTTTGCTAGAATTTCCAGCTAAACAAATATTTATGGTATAGACGTGTAAAATCTGGTATACAGACACTCAAGTCAAAAGCAACATGTCATCATTTCTAATAATTATCGATGTCATCGAGTAGTTAAAAATACATATAAAATAACTGATGGTATTTGTATTTGTTTCTTGCAATCGATTCTTCTCGTCGAACTTCACATAAGTAATATAAATGAAGAATGATTGCTTTTGTTTCATTACTTTAAGACATGTATGATTTCCGATCAATTATTGTGTAATATAATTATAAGCAGGTATGTCAAGGCTAACAAGCGTTATAGTAATATATAATGAAGTCTATTAATATGATTTATACAAAGATCCTACCGACTTCTTTTGTATAATTCAAAAAAAAATGCAAAAAAAAATGTCAATTAGTAATTTAATGCTATCGAGTAGTACGAAATGTTTATTTTAAATATGATTGCCTTCTAATTTGTTATGTGATTTCATCTTATTCTACTTCTTAACTAGCAACGGCTATATTATTATTAAGCATAACATTTTTTAACATAACAATAAATAACTATTGGACATAATAGAAATTTAACATTTTTGTAGAAGACTATCTCACTATTACAGGACTTATATTCCGTAAAAACATAGATTTATTATCGGTTTCATGCATACTATAGATTCTATAAAATGCAAAGGCGAAAAAGCGATTTATGATTTAGCGATTTAAATGATTTGATTTTGATTTTCAGATGATTTAAATCAGCTTTTTCCCCTTTAATATTTGTTTTTTTAGTTTCTCTATTTGACTGATTTTATTAAAAAAGATAATCTTAATCATTAAACTAATTTTCTCTAAGTCTAATTTAATTTTACGAATAAAAAAGAAAGATTTATCAAGTTGATAAATAATTTTCTAATAAACATCGAAATTTATTTTATAATAAAATGAAAATATTTTGATTTGATAGAAAGTTGTGATATGGTTAAATAAAGAAATTATTTTCAATTTGATTTTATTAATATGTTACCGATAGTTTTATTTCGAGGGACGTTCAATCCTGTCGATACAATTTATTTTTCAAAGTTTTTCTCAATTCTTTTTTTGAAATTTGTTTTATTTATCTTATAAACGACATGAACACATGATGTTTACTTAAATTAGCTTATATCGACAGAATTATTTAATCAATTGAATCTATTTATTAAAGAAAATGAATCTTTTTAATATTAATTATGAAAAATAATTTGTTTAAAGATTTAGTTTTCTTGTTTGTATATCAAATTGATTAAAATATTTAAAATTAATTTTTTCTCTTTTAAATAAAAATCGATGAACTTTATTATCTTTTATTGATTTTATTTTATTAAAGATTTATTTTGAACATTTTTTGTTTAATAAATATTGTTTTTCCCTTTATTTTTTCTTATTTTATTTTAAAACAGAAGAAGTAATTTAGTTTTATTCTTTCTCGTAGAGAAGAGTCCAGTAAACATAAATTGTTTACTTGCTTGTGTGTCCGCAGGGTCAAAAAAACATCGAAAATCGATTTTTCACGGTTTTCACTTGCTTTTCCAGCAAATGTGAGGAAAATGGGTTTCTACGAGAAAGAGCTAGGCGAGCCCTCAGACGAGCGTTACTTATATCTATTCATAAAATAAAACGTTTCTTTACTTTTTTTCTTATATAAAATATCAAAATGAAATATTGTTTATGTTCAACTTGAAATAAGAAAGAAAAAATATTTTAATTCGATATAAAAAAACATTTTTCTTATTATTTCAGCTCGAAATCTTTATCAATAATTAAAATGAGTAATAAATAAATATAATAATTTTATTATAGAGAATCATCGAATATCGCATCATCATCATCTTTCCTTAGTGTTCATAGATGATAATATTAAGATCTTTTTCTCATCATGTCATTTAGAATTAATACGTTTAATCTCTACATTTCTCTATGTTTTTAGATTGGTAGTATTAGTTTTGTTAATGAATGAAAAAGATAGATAGATAATAATGATTATCTAAATGATTAATGTAAAATGATAGATTATATTTCCAAAATAAATAAAAATCTTTTCATTTATCGAATATTAAAGTTAATTATATCAAGTGTAAAATTGAAAGCTTGAAGTCTTTAATCTTTCTTCTACAAACATTCATTTCTCATTAAAAATCATTTTTATCGAAGTGTTTTTTTAATTGTATCATCTATTTTGAATGTAATATATGTAGAATTGTATAAATAAATATGATGGTTGTTTAAAATCTTGAGAGTGTGGGTGTAGGTATAGGAGTGAACGAGTGACAACTACAACACACCCACAGCCACATAATCAAGATGGTGTGGGTGTGTGTACTGTATCCATCTCACACCCACACCCACCCTCTCAAGATGGTTACATCTTCTTCACCATTGTAAATCGACGAAATCAGACGAAGCCGGATCGATGTTTCGAAATGGTTATTCGCGGAAAATGTTTGTTTTTAATGAATTCTCTTCTCTTGCTGGAATATGTTGATCTTGCAACTGCTAAGGAGTGGGTTTTTTTCCATTCGTGATTCATATTGAAGAATTCTTTGTTTTTTGTTGCATTTGCAATTGCAGCATTTATATGTCTTGAATTTGAATGTTTGCTCTGTGACTAATGTACAATCGAATGTGTTGTTGGAAAAATAAACGAAAAGGAAAAGAAACTTTTAACGCTTTTTTTCTACACACCCACATTGCATTAGTCAGTTGCTGAGTAAAACATATAAAGTCATACATAGAACGATAATACGAGCTATCGACAATCACAAATCATTACAATTTACTCAAACTAAGTTTACTTTTTTGCATTGAACGAAGTTTGGTGAGTTGTTTATGAAGATTATTCGAAAACCATGAGAAAGTATTAGAGATGCTACAAGTATCTCTTTTTTTCCTAACAAGTCTAGTCGAAATCTTGAAAGAGATCGAATGAAGGGAGACATGGAATGAATATCTATAAAAGTTGAGAGACTAGATATCGATTGATTATTCTTGAGGGTGTGGGTGTGCGTAGTCTATATCATCCACACTCACACCCACACCCACCCACATCCACCCACACCCCCCACCCCCACCCCCCCCCCCCCCCCCCCCCCCCCCCACTTACCCTCATACCCCAATCTCACCCCTCATCCTCATCCTCACACACACCCACACCCACACTACTTCGAGTCTTGTTCGCGTTTTTCAATAAAAATTAGTGAATCTTTTTAAATTTAGATATAAATATAGATTATGGCTTCCGCATTTTCATCATCAAATAACTCACTTCATAAAAAAAGAGCTCTTCTCATTGGCAACAATAATTACAAGAAAAATAGTCCACTTCGATATTGTACCAATGATGCTGAAGATCTTTCTAAGAAATTACAGGAAATTGACTTTGAAATCACAGTTGGTACTAATTTGACATATGAACAGATGGATAGAACGATCGAAACGTTTAAAGAAAAGATAAATCCAGATGATCTTGTTCTTTTCTTTTTTGCGGGTCATGGATGTCAATCGAGTCATCGAAATTTTCTCATGCCCATTGATGATGATCGAATTAAAACAAATATTGATCTGGAACATCGAGCAATAAATGCTCAATTTGTGCTTGAAAAGATTATGAGTCGTCGTCCATCAGCAGCTATATTTCTTCTTGATTGTTGTCGAAATAGTTTTGTAGGCGAATCATCAAATTCTAATGGTCTTTCACCCATGCAAGCAGTTGCTGATTCATTTATTGTTTTTGCATGTGATGCAAATAAAACCGCTTTAGATGGATCAGCAAATAACCGGAATGGTTTATTTACATCTCATCTTCTTAGATATATTGATCAACCGAATTTAATTATTGATGAAATAATGTATGATGTTTGTGATGGTGTAATGAGAGAAACAAATAATGGTCAATGTCCATTTCGAGTATCTTCGCTTCGACGAAAAGTTTATTTAAATCAGCAATTTACAGATGGTAAGTCTAAAATAATTTTGAATCGCTATAGATATGGAAAATATAGGGTGTCTGGAAAGTCATTTAACGAAAGATTTTTAGTATAGCTTTATTGCTTCATTTGACTTTCCGGATATCCCGTATATATATATATATATAAAACAAAGAGGTTGCAGAACAATAACATACCATTGATGGAATCGCGGTATTTCTCTTTGGTTACTCGTAACAGAAAACTATACTACATCTACTCTCGTATGTGTGAATAAGGCAAGGAGAAAACAGCTGATTATTGATTAGGAGTTATTAGAGAGATGATTAGCTGTCCTTCTAGTCATCTTCCTAATAATCCATAATCAATAATCAGCTGTTTTCCTCTTGTATCAAGTGCAAACCATCTGACTCAGATTTCTTTTGATTTTAAATGTGCACAATGTCGACAATGACAAGTGTTGTATTCCGATCAAAGATATAACTCAATTCAATAAAATAAATAGAAAAAATAAAAATTTTTCCATTGACCGAAGTAAATCTTATTTAGAAGCGTCAATTCTCAAGTCGATTCATATACTCCTTATTGGTTACATTGAAAAAACAGAGACTATTTATACAATCTTTCCTGAAACTATATATTCAAATAAGAATCGCCAGCACATGAGAAAGAAAACAAATACTGAGAGACCTTGTTATTGTCAATCTCTTTTTTTACACTTTTCTAACAATCACACTCAAAAATATTCATCAATATGAAGATTAACATCTTTCATCATATTTAAATGAACTCATTTAATATTAGATTTAAAAACTAATTCAAAATGAAAACTCTTTTTCAACTCAAAATAAAAATAAATTATTTACAAACAAAGTAGAAAATGTAGACAGATTATGTGAAGAGAAAACGTTTTTGTATCATTATGAATAATGTTAAGAATTCTTCTCTCATTCATTTTATTCTAGCAGAAAATCATCTTCAATTTCATTCTTGTTTATCGACAAAATTGATGAATCTTCTGTACTTTTAAATCTAATTTATTTCTTCTTTGTTCAAATATCTTCATTATGTTTATCTCATTTATTTTTTGATTTACAATAAAGAATATCATTCACACTAAATCTATTATCTTAACATCGATTTATATGATTAAACATTTAAATATTTCATTTCATTTTCTTCCTCTCAGCATATTAATTCTATCAAACAAAACTCTCAACATATATTTTTATACAAACTATCATTTTGGTTTTATTATAGTTAAAAATGACACTTTTTTTATTCACATTTATTCAACAATTTCATTCTAATATTAAAAAAAATCTTTCTTCTTTTAGGACAATCACTTCTTTTCAATCCTATTAATATTAACACTAAATACAAACAACATGGAATTACTATTGCTGGAGGAAATGGCGAAGGTAATCAGTTGAATCAACTCTCTTATCCTCAAGGTATTTATGTTGATGATGATCATCAAACTATTTATATTGCTGATTGTCGGAATCATCGTATTGTTGAATGGAAATATGGAACAAAGAATGGTCAAGATGTTGCAGCTGGAAATGGATGTGGAAATAGAAATAATCAGTTGAAAAATCCAACAGATGTGATTGTTGATAAAAAGAATGATTCTCTTATCATTTGCGATCAAGACAACAGACGAGTGGTACGATGGCCTCGTCAAAATGGTACAAGTGGAGAAACAATCATTTCTGACATTGATTGCCAAGGTCTAACAATAGATAACAATGGAAATATTTATGTCCCTGATTGGAAGAGAAATGAAGTGAGGCGATGGAAACAAGGAGACAGAGAAGAAACAATAGTAGCAGGCGGAAATGGACAAGGAAATCATCTCAATCAATTCCATTCTCCTACTTATATCTTCGTTGATGAAGATCATTCAGTTTATGTATCGGATTATTGTAATCATCGTGTGATGAAATGGATGAAAGGTGCAAGAGAAGGTATTGTTGTTGCTGGTGGACAAGGTAACAGGGATAGTCTGACACAATTGTCTTATCCTCGAGGAGTGATTGTCGATTATTTGGGTACTATTTATGTGGCTGACTATGGTAATAATCGAATAATGCGTTGGTGTGAAGGATCTTGCAAAGGTAGTATTGTTGTTGGTGGAAATAGAAAAGGAGGACAGCCAAATCAATTCGATGGTCCCAGAGGTTTATCATTTGATGTTGAAGGTAATCTCTATGTTGTCGATTCGTGGAATAATCGAATACAAAAATTTGAAATTGATTTGAATTAAATTTGTTAGAACTGATGATAAAATGAATAATTAAATGTTTTGTAAAAATATTTTTGTTTATTTTGATTTAAAAAATAAATGAATATAAGAATTCAAAAGAGATTGATCGAGAAAATAAAATAGAAAACGTTGTTGATAAGTAGAATGAATTAAAAAAGTTTCTTTAAAGATCTGGTGAGACGTAATTTGTTAATGAAAAATTGTTTTCTTCTTTAAACAGATTTTCGTTAATAATTTATTTTTATGATTTGATTTCATGGGAGTTTGATTAAATAAAACGAAAGATCTTGAGGGTGTGGGTGGCCCCTGAATAAATCAAATGAATATTCAATTTAAATGTAAAGAATTAATGATTTATCTTTGTAATAAATATTTCTTTGTTAAGAAAAATATTTTTCGTTCTTTTTCTTTTTTTTTTGATGGACAAATAGAATAAAAATTTTCTTTCGCCTGTAAAATCTAATCTATTGTCAGCAGATACATAAAATTTACATTGTTGTCTCTTATCATCTAATAGTAACTTATGCATTAGTCTCGATAATCTTAGTTTTATTAATTTAACTTATTCATTTAAGAGCACTAGAACTATGTAACTCACTTGATCTTTACATGAATGGCGGACGTTTGCAAGGATTTCCAACTAAATACATATGTATGGTAAAGGTGTGTAACATCTAGTATACAAACCCTTACGTAAAAAGCAACATATGATTATTTCTAATAATTGTCGATGCCATAGTGTACTTAAAAATACATATAAAATAACTACTTGTATTTCTATTTGTTTTCTACAATCGACTCTTCTCTTGAAACTTCACATAACTAAAAATATAAATGTAGACTAATTTCTTTTGTTTCATTAGTTTAAGAGATATATAAAGTATATCAATACGATTTATACAAAGATCCTACTGACTTTTTGTATGATTTAGAAAAATGCAAAAAAATGTCAGTTAGTACGAAATGTTTATTTTAAATATAGGTATCTTCTAATTTGTTCTATGACTTCATTTAATTCTACTTCTTAACCAACAACGGTTATATTATTATCAAGTATAGCTTTTTTAATATAATAATAAATAACTGTTGAGTATCATAGAAATTTAAGACTTCTGTAGGAGACTAATTCACTATTATGAGACGTATACTCCTTAAAAATATAGATCTATTATCGGTTTCATGCATGCTATATGCTCTATCAAATGACTCTTAGTATTAAAAAAAGTTTCAAAAAAGTACCCAGGGGTAGCACTCCCCCAGTCTTTCAAAAACGTCTATTTTTTGGTCAACAAAATCGCCAAATCTTCTTAGGTTTTTTACGAAAGATAATACTACACCCCCAATAGTGGCTGACTCGCGCCATCCCTGAACATAGAATATCTTCTTTAAATTAACTTTCATAGAAATAAACAACAAATACTTCTACAATTTTGTCTTGAATAAAAGAGTACGCATGGAAACATACAAGTATTGGGTGGGCCAGATGAAATCTTGAGTGTGTAGGTCTACTTCTTATTTACTTCACACCCACTTCTCAAGATTACTGAGCTTCAGCTACAATTCTCATGAGGAGAGTATATATATTATTCCCGAATATTTTGCTTCTTATTATTAGTTTGAAGTAAACTATTCTTCGAGAAAGAAAACTTCATATTTGCCTAACTTTGTACTGAAAATATTACTTTTCTTAAAGCATCACCTCAAACCAAGACTTTAAATATACCATCTATGTACGGATTAATCTCGTAGTCATAAGTAACTCCGGAACATTTAACAGAATCCAATGTATACTTTTCAAAATATTGTAGTACAAAACTCTACTCATCATTATCGAAAGGATCTAAAATTTCAGTTGTTCGAAAATTAAATGGATCTAAAGAGTTAGATGTATAGACTGTACAATCTTCAAAAATTCTAATAGTTAATCAATCTTTTACACATAAAATATTGCATGAGAATTCTTTATTTCGAATAAACAGGCACTGATATGCTGACAACTTGTCACTAACATATTGCAAACGTGCACGTTTCGAAATGTCTTCATCTCACTAATATTTACTAGTACTTTAAAATGAAACTAATATTACGAAAACATTCTCAAATGCGTTCCGGTGAACATAGAAACAGATATTTCTTCCTTTAGATATGATGATGATCAGTGTGTCAATGGAAAAATACCTTTTTTATGAAAATGCTACGATAAAAACATACGAATTATTTCATGAATTTCCTTTCTCTCTCAATCCCCCACGATAAGGAACTGCTACGAGACAGCCAACAATCAGTGATTCAAATAACACGCAAGAAAAATTACGCTTTCGATCAAGTTTTACCTGCTACACTTTCAACAACCACCACAGCTCTGTAGTCTCTGCTAACTATGGACTCAAGAAAAAAACTCCTGTTTTTACAAAGTATCACATATATTTGCTGAACCGATATAAAATCTTATATACAGTAAAAGTAAAAGCATTCTTATTTGTAGTTGCTACCGTTACTAATGATTTTCATCAAAAAAATATTTTCAGTCCTGTATTTTTTTGGCACATTTTTTCAAGTTGTTTCATTGTATCATGATCGATATGATTCTGAAAAAAGCTGAGCCATGTGAGTGTCTGTGTGAATGATGAAGTAAAGTGAAGAGAAAGAAGAACAAGTACTGGTGTTACTTTGTTGATTTCTAGAGCATTGGCAAGATATTGTGCTCCTTGATCACCGATTT